GACACCGCCTACTCCAAAGAAGGCACTGGGCTTCAAGGTTATCAAGCGCTCCGAAACTCCCTCTGATGGTGTGCAGCTTGAAGACTTCCCAAACGGTGCGTCATACCATTCAACATGATATTTTCTACAGTACCCTAACCCGAGCTCACTTCAGAGATCTTGACACATATTCTTTCGCATCTTCACTCCGACTCGCACGCCGCAATTGCTCTCGTCTCCAAGCGATTTTATGCCCTCATCACCAGTTCTCATGCTTGGCGCATGGCCTTCCTACGATTCTTTCCAGGTCATGAAGCACTCGAGGTCAAGAAAAATGTGGACATGTGGGCTCACAGCTCGCACGACCTGATACAGTCTGAGTCTCGTTATTTCACTCGTCTTACCCCCATGGCGTCATGGAGAAAGGAATATCTTCTGCGCACCCGCTTGATTAGAAGTCTGGCTCGTGGCAAACCAGGCGCATCCTTTGCCTCTGGAGGTATTGGCGCATCTGTTCGTACCGGGAAGAAAACCAGCGCTGTGTTGACGTACAACTCCAAGCTGCCATGGGCTGTCACGAATATTCACGCTGTCTTCACAAACGGAAAGAAACCACCAAAAGCTATCCACGGAGCTGCCGACCTGGGAGTAGCTTCAGTCAGTGACCCTACCAACGGAAGGATTGAAAAATGGGGATTCGTTGACCCTTTCAGCTCTATGCAACTTGATGAGGTGTTCCCCAACCTTGTTCCCTTTGGCTTGGGGGAGGGTCCCGCAGCAACTCCCAATGTCCTCGATGTAAGCCAGCCATATGGCGTTCTTGCAGGTGAAGGATTCCCGGGCGGTCGTCCCTACTACCGTCCTGTCAATGAGAACCGTGGACGATATCTCGGTGCGGATTCTGGTGTTGTTGACACCTACCCTGATATCCCTAAAATACCAGAAATGTCTGAGGCAGTCTGCAGTGTATGGTTGGCCAAATCGCCGAATGTGCCAACAAATACGCAGTCAATGATTGGGATGCTGACTGGCTCTACCCTTGGTGTCGTCACTTCATACGCTCTTGGAACCGACTCTGGACCGCAACGATACCAACCTGGAGAAGCTACTGCGCGTTGGGTGCTTAGTCCTGGCGTTCCAATTATCTCTCTAAAGGTTGACGACAACTATAGCCAGAAGCGCAAGTCTTCAGCCAGGGTATGGATCGTTGCGCTCAATGCTCTGGGTGAGGTATTCTATCTGACTGAAACACCTACTGTACAAAACGCAACTAAGAGCGAAGATATCACCAAAAACGCTTGGTTCGCTGGACGCTCAGTTTACTGGCATCTATTGGACTCCACTCGACGCGTTGCTCGACGAGATGATTCGGACAAGAACGCCATCAAAGGCGCATACTCGCCTCGGTCACCTTCCAACTCTATGAGCCTAAGTAAGAGTCAGTTGGCTGCTGAAGCACGAGAAATTGAAAAGTTCTTGCGCCAAAAACCTGCACACTTCCGAAGGGTTTGCGAACGATGGGATATGCAGCGCAAGCTGGAAGTCGATTTCGCCAATGATGACGGCCATGGTGCTGGTGAAAACATATTTGTCATCGACTGTGGACTAGCCGAAGACCGCCCTGCACACGTCGAGCGATACACTCGATCTTTAGTTCCTCAAGATGCACAATCATCATCAGTCGTGTTGGCTCCCACGCCTCCTGATGTCTCCGTCAGCGCTCAGCCGTCACTATTCGGGACTACTGCGGCAGAGGTATCACAGGGGCCCGATGAGAAGATATCTCAATCCATCACATCTACCTCAGTGTCATCATTGGATGTCCTGTCCCATCTTCATGAGTGGGAGAGTTGCTCCTTCAGGCTAAAGGGTCAAAGTCATGCAGTGATCACTAGTGCCTCAATGGACCAATCTAGCACTTCAGTCCTGACACTCGGTGAAGATCCTCTTCACTCGGCTGAGGAAGAAATTCCAGGCCGCAGATCTCGATTGTTTGCTGTCGGCACAGACGACGGGGCTGTACTTGTCTGGAACGCTCGTGAGGATGCTAAGGCTACGGGCATCAGCCCGGTGCGACAAATCCAGACTGACTCCCCAGAAGTGTCCTGCGTGGCACTCTCGGCTATGTATGTTGTCCATGGCGGCAGTGATGGACTGGTGCAAGCATGGGACCCCTTGGCATCAACATTGGATCCCGTTCGAACTCTCAACGCAAGGTCAAATGGACGAGTGCCTCGACACATGGTCACAATGAACCCAACTCTGGACGAGTCGACTTACTCAGCAGTCGGTGCGATTTATCTTGACCCTGATCCAACCGTCCTTCGTGGAGTCGTTTCATTTGGTGCTTTTCTGAGATACTGGGCGTACAGCTCTGCTAGTCACGCTTCAGGACGTAAGCGTCGGCTTAGACACTCTGATGTTCATGGTCGTCTGGCCAGTCGTCGTCAAGGCGGAGCAGTCATTGATTTTATCGCTGCTGAGGAGGCTGAAATCAAGAGGGAGAACGAGCAAAAGGCCAGAGAGCAGAACCGCCTGCGCAATCGCTTTGGTGTCGGTGCGCTCGGTGACCTGACTGAAGAAGAAGCATTGCGGTATGCGCAGATGGTCTCCGAGGAAGCCTTCCTTTTCGAGGAACAACGTCGGACAAGCGACTCCGCTGCCGATGCCAGCCTGGATACTGCCTCGACATTCAGTGAGACCACTACTGTTGATACCGTCACCCCTGAGCCAAGTGTCTCGGACATGATAACTCCCCCGTCTGCCTCCGCGGATAAGATTGAGATAGCGCCTGTCGAGGACGACTATGAACAACAGATTCAACAGGCAATCCGCCTTTCTCTGATGGAAGGCGTCAATGATAACGCCGCATCACCCCAAGCAGCGAGCTCCGGTGATTACGAATTCTCGCTGACATACAAACCCAAGCCTGGCAGGAAGAACAAGACATCTGGAACTGTGTCGCCTGGATTTTCCAAGTCGGGGTCATCAAACAATATCCAGCCTAGGGACTATGACCTTGAACTTGCTCTGAAGCTGAGCATGGAGGAGCAGGGTCTGTCAGCGTTTGACGCAGCGTCAGACGTTCAACGCGATGAGTTCCCGGCGCTGGAAACTGAAGGTGTCGGTAAAGGGAAAGGGGTACAGAGGTGGTAATTTAGTGCATCTGCTGCATTGTGTGTCTCGTCGTTCACAGCTTTACATTCGATGCCATGGGTCAACACGGTACGTGTTCGTGCCACTGGCTTATCTTTTACATAATTGGACTTTTTATCGGCATCTATCCTTTCCCGCCTGAGCTCAGCTCCGTTGCTGAACGAGTAAACACCGTGATACGATTGATGATCATGAACTATACTTGTGATCTTGTTGATATCTGTTCAGAGATTGTCTGTTTCGTAATGGCTGCTAATTCGAGGTCATCATCACGAGAAGCATTGCCCATTTTCCCAACACCTCTTAATGCAAAAAAGCACTTATCGAATATGTGTAACATGAATGGGTTAAGGCTGGAGCTTAGTCAAAACTGTTTGTATAATATTTCCTAGTATTGCAATCACTGTATGCCATGAATAAGCTCCAGCCTTAACACATTCATCTCGAAATCAATGGTTTTGTAGGAACTTCTGTTTGGTCTATGTCAATTTGTCAGCGCATATTGCCAAGAATGCAGCAAACACAGTCGCCATAGCGATTTAGGGCTGAGTTGTGGGAGCGAACAAAACGCTTTAAAGTGTTTAGTGACTCTTAAGAATGTATGAGCTATTCTAACTATAGAGATGTATTTAATGATATTGAACGCATAGTATCAGTTTTTCGGAAATTGGAAGGTGTAGGGTAAGACAACTAAGCGCTCAATGTCACTATGCACCTGAGAGTTAGGATTTTATAATAAACTGCTTGCTATCTAATACAGTATTACACACAGGAAGGTGGTCTACTACTCCCAACATCGCTCACGTGTTTTGTCATCACGGAGGTTAGTATTACACTGATGGGTTTCTAGTCTAAGTGCACCAATTGACGCTGAGCGTACAATCACCTTCCTTGACCGGAACTCACCTGAACTAAAGTTCGGTTTAGAATTCTCACTAATAAAGAGTCGCGAAGACATGCCCCTGATATTAGCAGTTGCTCCACGGGCGCAGTGTTAAGTGGGAGCACCTAAAGGTCCCGGTCCATCCGGCAGATGAGAACAGACCAGCTTGCGATTTTGCGGCCAAGGTCCTGTATGTAAGTTGCTGTTGCTATTCTCCCTCAAGTAACATCCCCGATCAAAGGCATGTTGCTCGCATGTTCACGGATGAGTAGAACATGTCTCGGATGCCCCGACTTGCAAGAGCTATCACATGCTTGGAAGTAAACCCAAAACGACGCTCTGCGAGGCAAGGCGAAATATGCAATATCATATCATTACGCGTGGCATAGACAAAGAGCTCAAAACTTTGGCAGAGTGTAACGTTGCAACTTGACAGCCAGACTCCTCCTCGGACCAACTTCCCGCTGCATGGAACTTATAAGGGACCTGCATAAGAAAGGCATCTCCAAGGGCCCAGTTTTTGCGGTTCAAAGATCTTGAGACTTGCGTGAACCGAGTCTCTATTCTCCGAGATATACTGGAGACTCGATGTTCCTGAGTTGCCAGCTCATCAGTCCCAGAGAGGTGAGGAAGCCGCTATGTAACTCAGAACGAGACAACGGGACATCCGGCAGTGTTCCGAGCAACAGCGTTCAGGGCACGGTCCCTGATCATAGAGCTAATCTTGCACTCTGATAGCACTATTATCAGGAGGCATGAGAATAGCTAATCGCGGCTGGAGATGCGGTGTTCCGGCCGCGCTCTCCAGTCGCCGGATATTGGTGGCGGGGAGCGGATCCGCGGGACGGGATGGGCCGCAGCGCCACTGATGAAGTCGAAAGGATCCAATTTTGAACGGACGTTTGCTTCATTCAGCGATGTTGTCGTAGATAATTTGCATGATCTCGACAGAATATTCGTTATGTTGCTGCAACCGTTGACAATGGTACTTGCTCGCCACGCAGTTGAATTAGACATCCCTGCTCAAGAACCTGGTCGTTATGACGAAGGTTTCTGCACTGCTGGCTCCGGGCTATTGGGTCATCAGGCCATGACACCAAGAACTCAAACTCGGGGATACTTAGCGTTGCAGCATGCAGCTACAATCCAATCCAGTGCTCTGCAGGCTTCAGACCAATGGGCAAAGTTAGCTTCTGAACCAGCGCCCACCGGTGCTGCAGCGCTCTGCGGATAACCGGCCACCGTATTTCGGCCGTAGCTATTAACGTCCGTCACCCAAAGACTGGCCACCCCCACAGACCGGCCACCTTATTTTTAACCTAGCCACCTAATTAATATATACTTTAAATAGTTATAACTCTACTAATTTAATTCTAATTAATTTAAAACTAATACTAATTAATTTAGAATACCTTTCTTTACTAAAAAAGATATAAGTGCTATGCTTTAGATAATTACAGAGGGTATATTAGTAAATAAAGCAGCTAAAGCTTATAGTATTAACCGTTTTATACTCTAAGGTTAGATTAAAGGAAGTATAATACTAAGAGAAGCCTAAAAACCTTATTAAAAGCTCTCTAAGATTTAGGAGAAGTATCTTTAAGACTAGATTATTATCTAAGCTAACTTAAAATACCCTATATTATATTAATAAGTCAGAGAGTTTACTAATAAGATTACTATTTATAATAGCTTCTTAGAAGGTATTAAAAAGAACTAGTTATAAGGCTTTTTAGGATAAAATCCTAATATTAAGATTTTAAATGGTAAGAAAATTAACTTTAATTAATATTATAGAGCTTTTTTTAAACTAATAAAGGTATTCTTTATACTCCTTATAATACTAGTAATATACCTAATTAAGTAGAAGAATAGATATAATATTAATAAAGTTAAAATAATAAAAGGAATAGGAATAAATAATCTATTCCTTAGTTATTAGTTAAAGAAGTTAATACTTATTTATTAGCCTAGTTTTTATACCTAAATTATAATTCTTAAGTATATCTTAATAATAGGGAAGGTCCTAAGATCTATAGTTATTTTTAAGAGGAAAATAATTTAATAATAATATTTCCCTAAGGATTTAGACTTCCTAAAAGACTAGGAATTTGCCTATAGTAATAAGGGCTAAATAAGTAATAAATTAGTATTAATTTAGTTAAGAAAAGTCTTTATTTTATTAATATAGCCTAAGAAGAAAGATAAACCTTAACTTCTTATTCTTAATAGCTATAGAAGTTATATTACTAAAGAGTTCCTTTAGGAATACTATAATAATAATATATATCTATTATTTCTTCCTGCTTATACTTCTTATATCTTTTAGCTATTAGATATTATAGTTTTTAGTCCCCTAAAGAGGATATATTATTATTTTCTTTTAGATCTTACTTTTATCTCTAATAATAATTATATTAATAAGATTATATTTCTATATACTTATAATAAGGCTTAGAGAGAAGCTATTATAAAGTCTAATATAATTACTGGCTTTAAGGCCACTAGACTATAGCTTGTAAACCTAATAAAGATCCTAATAAATCTAATAGTTATAGAGATACCTTCTCCTGCTATTATAGCAAATTTGCCGGCAAAAGAGCAGGATTTTAGTCTCTTAAAGACTCCCTATTTATTTATATAGCTTTAGTAAGCTCTAGGCTAAGTCCTAGCTTCTATAATATAAGATCTGACTATTAGGCTGCTATTTAGGAAGATTAGTAGTTAATTAGACTATTATAACTTTAATATTAAGTAATAGAATAAAGAAATAAGTATTTTATAGTAGGAAAATAAAGAAAATTAACTAAAAAGGCATAAAAAGGTTATTTATAACCTAAATATAAAGTTTATAAAGATTTTAGTAATTAAGAAAGCTTATAAATAGATATAAAAGACTTTATAACTAGAAAGAACTATAAATAAGGTTAAGAAATTAAAACTTAAGGATCTTTATACTAATTTCTATTTAAATATTTACTAACTGAAGTTTTATTTAATATAAAAAATATAATATTATAAGAATTAATGAATTAATTATAATATCGGGTTTTTAGTTTTTTAGCCGAGGTGGCTGGTCTGTGGGGGTGGCCAGTCTTTGGGTGACGGACGTTATGTAGTAATGTAGCAATGAACAAATACATGAGGTCTGAGAAATGCTCAGGAAGGTAATCACCCCAGGCAGACCCGTCTTCGGGTGTCAATATGCCCGACGAGCGTCTTGCCTTTCCAGGGACTGTCTCCGACCAAAATCAGGCCCTCGCATGCTGTCAAGAAAGGTGTATCAGGAGATCGGAGCAATGGTGAGCTTTTGGTCAATGCTGCCATGGATAACCAAGGGTCTTTGTCGCAACAAATGCATGCTTTTTACTATCCTCATTTATGTTCCTGTTAGCTCGCTTGGTTGGATCCCTTATGGCGGTACGCGAAACTATTTTCCTGAACCCTTGTAGGGGTCAAAGTTAATCCCTCGATAGGTCGACAGGTATGTGTGGCCTTGAAGCTGATTGCCTGTCGCCATCAGTGACCCTGCCAGACTATCCGAAAACATTTTAATAGCCGATCCAGGGTTCACGGTCGAGAAGGATATCATTTTCCGTACTCCACCCTAGCTGGTTGGCATTGGTACCGTACTGTATCAGTGTATCTCGATCATTTTTTCCTCTCTCGACTTTTGGAAACGCCGCAGCCGCCGCCGAATATTGGCAAGGGAATGTGTCTGATATTTGTGCTGTACTATACAGATGCCAAGTTGAGGGGGGGCTCACGACTCGTAAACAATGCAGACATAACCAATGCGAAGGTTTTGCTCGAATGCAAATGATGAAAAGGCGTTCGCTGCAGTGGCCGGCAGAGGAGTTGGCGCCCCTCCTTGTCGCCCTTACGGCCTTACCTGATCCAGACTGTGTGCACGACAGACAGATGCGTCTGTACATATGAAATGAGACACGGAAGCGGTCAAGGCCTGCAACATACCATTGACGTGGTCATATGGACCAAGCCGCTGGGAATTTGCTCAAGGGTTCCCGCCGACTTGTCTCAGGAACTGGAACCGGTCAGCTGGATATCATCATTTATTGGGAATGACTCAAGCCCCTTCACCAGGAAATGCAGATCAACGGCTGTCACTCGTCAGCATACACATCTCGTTCCGTCGATCGCGTTTGTTAGCATCAAGATCGAGTTCTGATCCGTTGCTCGGACCTCCTTGTCACGCAGCAGCTCCCGTCTTCCAGATAAACTCCCGTCGTGCATTATGGCAGCTAGTTACCGTTGGGACGGTTCGCGGAACAGCATGAATATCTCCCATGAAGTTAGCACCAACCTTTCCATCTCCAGTCAGATCCTTCCACCCTCCCGACTCCCTCGAGAAAAATACCCAATAGTTTCACTTCTCAAATGTCTCAAAACTAATAATATTTTCCCCGTCCAAGCTCCCCATTAGCCAAGAGAGCAGTGGCGGGCGGGTCGATCCACCAGGTTGGCACAGTCGTGGGCGGGAGCCAGCGGGTATCTTTAAGCTGCAGGACGGACGAGACTGAAAATCAGCTCATGGCGCTGGATGCAAGCAAGTCATGCTGTGCAGCAGAAGACCGCCATGAAAAGTGCTCGAGTTGTGATTCGTAGTACAGGAGGCAAAGAAAATGTTGAGTCAACCCAAGAGCCCAACGGAGCAAAGCAAACGGATTTGCCTCCTCAACCAGAAAGTCTTTGACAGTTTGCGTTTATTTGTTTCAAACACGGCATTGAGCCGTGGAAATCGGTGGGCCACTCTTAGTTGCTGGAATGTTGCATCGAGCTACAGTGGCTCCGAGGGAGAAACCGTCGTGTCCCTGTTTCCCGGATTGACAGTCCTATGAATGGGGCCTGTCCATGAAAGGCATAAAATCTGGTGCAGAATGGCATTTGACAAATGCGCCGTCCTTTCCCAGCGAGTCAGAATTGACACCAATCCATACTGATATGATACATCATAATTGTTTGTTCGGAATTTTCCTTCCTTTCCTGCGCTTCAAGTCTCGTTGCGGCAAGATCAGACAGGTCTGAGATTCCAGTCTTGGGGTCATGTCTTGCACCCCAAACTTCATGATCACAAATCGCCAATAGTTCATGTAACTGAGATCCAGGAAGTGCAATAACGACGTCAGCCGAAAATGTGTTTGGAGTCCAGCAAGGGGAGGCGGTATGGAAACATCACTGCAGGCAGTCAGAAGTTAGAGCCCAACCATATGGAACCCTTGCATCTGAGATGACCACCTGTATGTCGATACTGATGGTGTCAACGCCTAAACATCTGTGTCGGAATCGAGGCATACCAAGAACCATACCCAATGAAGGCAGGAGAATTAAGAAACCCTTGCAATTGCAGGACAGTGCAAACTCTCCCATGAAGGACGATGTGAGTATAGAACTCGAAGCGGCATAGGCATCATAAACCCGCGGGATGATTATTTCCTCTCTGCATGAAGAGCTCTCGGCCTTTCATTTTCTTTAATGAAGATATGTCCCAGCAGGATTTAAAATCACTGACAGCACATGCAAGGTCTCCATGAATGGAGACTTCAGCTTCTCAGAGAGTGCAATGATGGACCGAATGAAACCTAGAAAAATCCAGGGGCCACTGCGGGAGAGAGGAAGAGTTGGTCCGTCCGTATCAACCACGGCACATTTTCCACGAACCCCGGGTTGCCCATGTCAACTTTGGTCTTGAGAAAAAAAATTGAGGCGCAGTCTGGACTTTTTGCTGACAGACTGGACTGCAAAGTAATATCAAATTATAGAGAATATATGGACTGGTTGGTAGTGGAAAACCCAGGGTCTCGGCCGAAGCGACGCTGAAATGATGCCAGCGTGTGCGATGAAGCAATTGGTTGATTGATTGATTCCCAGTTGTCAATGACTCTCTGCAAGCGAGCCGAGGTCCCAAAGCAATGGAGCGCTGACAAACAGAAGCTGGTCTGTCTGTCAACGAACGAACCGTTACGACACAACGGGCGGATGAAAAGTGACACCTCACAAAGCTACTGCCAAGGCTCGTGGTGATAAGCTTGAAAACCCCCGTAAACTGACAAAGTGAGGTTCCTGAGAAGGGAAACGGGGTTGTCGATGCAGGGATGAGAGTGTTTTGATTGGGATCTCTTCTTTCAAGCCAGGGTGGGGTGTGTTGAATGGATGATCTGACTGCCCTGGGGTTACCCTGAGCCCTGGAGTTTTTGGTGGATTGTGGTCCCGCTAGTGTTCCACTACCAAATTCAAGGAACGGTAAATTGTCGGAGATGGACTTTTGGACAGTGCAACCCGGGTTCCTGCTATTCGGGACTGCTCCGGACATGGGCTACTGGCCAATCATGCGAGTTTGTGGTTCCATGACTCTTTAGTGCATACCTAGTCTTGGGTTCATGAATCTTGGAACAGTCGTGTTTCTGTTTCTGCTTCCATTGGAAGGGCGATAATACCTTCAACCGCCGATATTCACCACTGAAATGTGAGACTGTTGTCTCTGGAACCATATACACCCTCTTGTTGGGTATTAAGGCATTCTATAACCAGGTTCGCGGATGCCTCATGGATAAACGGTTTTCATGTGTGTGCGTCCTTACACGGAAATGCTGTGACACGCTTCATCTGCATAAGACTTAAACTCAAGGCCCAGGTCATGGCTTACGTTTCACAGACAGCTGCATCATGGACCAAGTGCCGTGTTGACAATATCATCAGATGGCCTTTCCTGGCTCACGGCTGGATTGTAGCGCAGCCGCCACCAAACTCATGAGGTCAAGACGTGAGAAACGGGCGCGTGGAAACAACATGGGCGAAAGCAGCTATCCTCTCTGCCTCAAACTGTATTCCTCACCAGGAATCCTGTCTGCGACTTTAGATGTTGCAGCAATTGCCTGATGATGATAATCCATTCCAGCTTTGCTGATGTGTGGATGGGGCATCGTATCGCCTCGTGCAACGCAATCAATAACGTTTTACTGGCAGGTTGACAACTGGGCCAACAAATTCAGGTTCTCAATGTGGCAGCTGGTGACCGCAGAAATGCTACCACAGTTCACAGTGCCGCAGTCTTGTCACCACCTGGCCGCTCCAGCTGGCCGCATCAAAGGCCATGGCATAGGCCAGAAGCTGGCTGTGAACCACTGGGCCACAATTTCAGTGAACCGAGCAGCTGGAATAGGGAAATACCACGGAGGTTGGACCTCGTTTGGAGGAGCAATACTGTGCTCACTGTGCTGGATCATGTACCCGCAGGGGTGTGATTCAGGTTAGATTCCCTGTGAGTATCCATCGTTCACACCACAATCTCTGCCTCTGACGGCAGAGCATGAGCCTCTCCCAGAAGGTAGAGCAAAAGGACCTGACCTGTTGCGCATTACAGCGCATAGCATGACACCTTTCCCTTCCCGTCCCCAGAATTCGAGCTACTGCGGTGTACTGTAGTGTGCGTGGCCAGTGGCATGTCCTGTCGTGTCTTGGATTGCCTCCTGAAGAGGTCAAGTCTCCAAGGTCCGTCCTTGAACTAAGGCCTAGGCCTCCCGGTTGCCAGCGGCCGACTGCTCACGTCCCTACCCATCCGCCGTGTCGGGACTGACTGGATGTCTCGGTGTCTTTTGTTGTTGAACAGAACGGACGGATCATGAACAAATACTGTACACTTATCTACATGCCACCGAGTGAAACTTTCACCCCTTCCATGGTATCGTTGTCGTCCCCCACATGCCCTTCTTCCCGTGCTGGGGTTCCTGGTTCCATGTTCCATGTTCCATGGATGCAACGAACTCGTACGAATTCCTAATTGGGTTGGGTGCCTTTCTTTAACCCTTGTCGCACTGGGCAGGCCTTCCATTCGCTGTCTCTGCCTTCTGCAGCATTAGCATTGGCTTTGTAGCGCCGGGCCGCTAGACTGGGTCCACTAATACCACCAGGCTGGCTCGATGTGCACTGTAGAGTTGAGTGTAGCGCCATCCACGAGGTCCCGTCCAAGTTAGCAACCGCCAGACTAAGTATAGTTCGCCTGCCCTCGCCCATCATCCTTCGACCAACTTTCTACTTTACTCTACTCGGTCCTCTCTCTCCCTCCTCCCTCCCCTTCTCATAAAGTCAACAGTTTTGATCCAACCATTCCCGTATCGTATCGCCTTGATCATCGTCGCAGATCCACTGCGTCATGAGAGGCTGATAAACTCTTGACCTTCACTCAGCTCGACATACGAATTGGTCTATCCTGACTAATTAGCTCGACGTCTCTTTTAACGGGGACTGTCGCTATCTATCTGACGATACATTATCGTCGCTTGAGCGCCACTACTTTCGGTCCCGCCGATTGCACAAACACCATCGTCTCTACTGGACTCCCTCACGACTCATAGCAAACCCTGTTGTCCAATTTTTACTCATCATATTCGCCTCACCATATAGACAACTGTATAGAGGGGACGATAAAATTATCTCATATCAAATCTCACTCGAAACTATTTCAGTCACTTAAAGCAACAACCATTAAAGAACTCTCAAACTCTGTTATCACAAACTATCCAACATGAGTTCTCCTTCCCAGGCCGGGCCCTCGTCCCGTAGAGAGGAGAAGAAAGAGAAGGGATTCAGCAAGCTTCTTACTCGCACCAAAACTTTCCTCAAGCGAGAGGGCTCCTCATCTGCTTCTAAGCGTCAGTCGACTCTCTCGACCACCAAGCCTGCCGCTCCAGCCAAGCCTGAGGAGACTCCCCAGACGAGGTACGATTTTCTCTGGTGAACTTTCCTCGGATGGAAACGTCTCGACGGACTGTTTCTATTCCTTGACTAGAACCAGTTCATGTGCATTCAGTAACTAACGAGCCTGCAGTCAACCTCCTGCTCCCGAGAACAAGAAATTGGAAGCTAGGGCTAAATATGAAGGCTTAGAGGGCGTCTCCAAACTCACTAGGAGCCAGTTGATCGAAGAGCGTGCTAAGAAGCTTGGTGAGCGCTATGGACTTGATATCAACGTTTCCGAACTTCAGACCAGATCGCCCGACGACACCGTTCTCCGCATTGACAAGCCGATCCGTATGCGCGTACGACGAACCTGCCACAAGTGCAACTCCACCTTTTCTTCTGCCAAGGAGTGTCCCAACTGCCAGCATGCCCGTTGCACCAAGTGCACCCGTTACCCTCCCAAACGAAGCGAAGCCGAGATTATCGCCAGCCGTGAGCGACGTGCCGCTATCATCAAAGCCAACAAGGAGAACGCCCCTATTATTCCCGACTACTCTTACGCCTTTGACGAGAAGAAGATCGTCCTTACTCGACCTAGCAAGACAGGTGGTCAGGACTTGGTTCACAAGAAGCCTCGTCAACGCGTGCGAAGGACCTGTCATGAATGTTCGACTCTGTTTATCTCTGGTAATAAAACCTGTGAGAAGTGTGGCCACGTTCGCTGCACTGACTGTCCTCGGGATCCGTATGTTCACCTTACAGCACCTATCAAAGTCTTTGCTAACCAGATAATAGCCCCAAGAAGGAGAAGTATCCATATGGTTATCCTGGAGATGAATTCGGTCCTAGCAGTGTGCCACACTATGAGTGTAAGGAGTGCAAGACTATATTCCCAACCGGTGCTGAAAATGGAACCAAATGCACAAAATGTGGTTCGGAGAAAACAGACGACTCGCCCCGTGTCAAACCCCGCAAAGTCGAACCTGAACCAGACCCGGAGATATTGAAGAGGCTACAGGAGCGGCTTGAGAATCTAAAAGTGGCATAACTTGCATACACCATAAGACTCTTGAACTCGGGAGTCGGGGACGAAGAGAGGATGCTATTTCATTTTATCGTTTTACACAACCACACACGACGACGACATTCGAGCTGCGAGAGCGAGGGACGACGGGCGGAGAGCTTCTCAACCATCTCATATCATGAGTCGAAAATTCGATGGCTATCGATCCCCATCCGCAGTTCATTTTCCTTCTACTTGGCCACACGTTGCACGGCTCATCCACCCTGGATCATGGGTTCAAAATAGTATTCGACACGAAGCCTATTTGTTTTTCACGACATAGAGACGGCAATTCATATTGGCCGGCGCATACAACATCACGTTCCGGATCATTCCATTCAAGCGCACCTCCATGACTATTGCATTACCAGCCATCTGTCATTTACAGACATTTACGAACAGAGGAGTTATGATTCAGGAGAGCAAGATCATGTAGAGGGGGCAGGTGGGGATATACGGGTTGATTTGCTGAGAGGTGTTGAAAAGGGGGTGGTTTGTGTATTGACAAACAAAATTCGCATGTACCTTGCGGGCCGTGACCTTTGGAGGATGGATACCACAACGAGTGTGCCACACATTGTCAATGTATTTGGCGAAAGCGAAGAAGCGGTGTTTTTTTCATTCTCTCAGTGAACACAATTCTGTTGGCGAGCGATACCTACGCTCTGCATCAATGAGAAAGACGTCAATCCTTCATAACTAACACCAATACTATTTGACGAACACAAGTGATATCAGTTCCATGTATTCCATCCCCTCTCACTCGCTCTGGATATGGTTGACAACTTGGTTGAGGACTGATTAGGATGTGGCATCATATCCATGCCATTATCCTCTCCTAGTTCATCCAAGAACCCCAGCAATGCAGGAAACACGTGAGTCTTGCCTCAACATCGCCATCATACATACGTGATGTCCCTGCCCCCGCAGTGTCCATTATTCATCCAACCCATCTTGCTCTATGCAGGTGTTGTAATACTTGCAGTATACGTAAGTGGTGCTTGTGTTGGACAAGATGCAAGAGTTGTGCCATGGTCTGCTGCTTTCTGTGTAGCGGTGTGTGTCGCACAGGCGCTGCATAGTGGTGGCGCTGATACCGTGAGGAGAAACAGGTGCGCTCGGCTCATCGGGAGGACAAGAAAGTGAGTGTGAGGCGTATGTGCGTTATGGGAGAGCTAGAGACAGGGGATGACGGGGGGGGGGCTGTCTTGGGTAGTGGCTCAAGATAGGTCTAAGATGTTACTGGGAGGGCTATGATGGTTCCGGTACCCTTGCATGCCTCTATTAAATGATCGATATACTATCTAACAACTTCACGATCACTCCGTGTTATCCACTCCCTCGGCACATGTGATTCCATACCGTATATGGGCAGAGTGTCTCCAACATCCCTCACTCCAGAGGTTGGTCTCCTTCCTTAATGAACGGCTCCAGACTGATCCTAGCTGTATGGGTCACCGAAGCACCAAGGGTATCAAGCCGGTTGATCTTTCGACCAAGATACCTACCCACACCATCCATTCGGTTGTTGAGATGGGCATGCTGTTCATCCACTCTACGTTGAATAATGGAGTTTTGGAATTCGTTCGAGTTGAGGATGGGCATGAGACGGTGCGTTGGGTAAAATCGACCTCTAATCGACTGTTCCTTGAACACGACGTTCTCTTTGATCAGTGCGTAGCGCCAGCGCTGTGCCCCGACCGAATGGCGCCACTGGCTCTCATTTCGTAACGCAACGGGAAGGTGTTCATCCCGGACAATGTTTGACTGGTCTTCAGATACGAGCTGGTAGATATGGCCGACGAAAAAGACGGCGCCAGGGAAGTCCGAGGTGGTGAAGATGCGCCGGAGACCCAGGACGCACGTCTCGGCCGGGACGTTCAACTCAGCCGGGATTGATCTGAGCCGCATTGCGTCGCCAATCTCGATGCGCTCAGCCCCAAAAAAGCAACCCCAGTACGCAACTCTCTTGAAGTTCGGCTCTTCGGAGATTTTGGACCACAGGGAGTACGAGTAGTCAATCTTCACAGCTGCCATCTTGGAAGCGTCGAGTGCAATCATCTCTCGACGGTTCCCGTCTGCGGTACTTTGGAAGAGAGCCTCCCATGAAACACCATCGTATTCCTTGTCCTTCAATTCGGGGAGGTTGACAGGTGGTACGGTAAAGGCATAAAAGGGTCGCATTTCTCCCTCTGTTTTGTTCACATTGTTTTGTTGGACGATGCCATGACCGATGGGCATAACCTCATGATGGCTGGCAGTGGATGAAGCAATGACTCCCAGGCGCCATGCATTACCGTTCAGATACCAGACCAGCTCTCCTGACCTGAACAGCACAGGTGATTTTAGTGACCACTGAACCGGTGGGGGCTGTGCTTGAGTAAGAGGTTGAGCTTGTTGTTGAATCTGCTGCTGTGCTTGAGGCTGGGGTTGTTGAATTTGAGGTGGCTGCTGCTGAAGTGGTGGTTGATTTTGGGGTTGAGATTGAGGCTGGGGTTGGAGCGCCTGCTCCTGTAGTTGAATCGGGGGTCGGTGTTGAATATGCTGTTGTATGGGGGTTGAAGTTGCAGGGACCGGCGTCGGTGCTGGTGAGTTTTGTGCTGTAGTAGCCGGCGTAGACTGTGTAGACTGTGATCGTGGTGTAACTTGGTTCGGTTTTTGAGATGCCTGTCCAGGCATTGGAGGGAGTGGAACAGGCGTGACCTTGGACGGGATCTTATCGACTTTGATAGGTTCATGGGTGATGATCAACGCGTCGTCAGCACCGATGCCCCCTTTCATTGAGTTGAAACCGTTGCAGTGCGCACAGCAACAGTCTCGGTAGTCCATCGATGTTGAGAGCAACCATATCAGGTGCACTGCAAATTCCTGCGGGCTCTTGAAAAGCTTCACCTTGATAGGATACCCCGAAACCCAAAGATGTTTAGACTTCTCGTATAGCCAGTAACCTTGTGGGAAGTTCACTAGCCACGGATTCCCCTCTTCACATGGTTAGATATCTGAGGGATGAGGCAGAGGAGCCAACTTACCATCGGGGTTCGGACATAGCTCTTGCTTCAGCAGAATCCCGAGTTTGACTTTCCACTCTGTGAATCTTGGGTCGTCTTCGGCTAATCGAATCATCTGAGGTTTGGTCCTTGGTGTTTTCTCAGCCGCAGCATCCTTTGTCTTCTTAGTGGCAGTCGTGGCGGATGGTGCTGTGACTGGCCAGTATCCAGGCCCGGTGTCTGAGCCATCGCTTCTTGCCACCCGTACAACATCGAATTCTTTCAGTTCCGTGGGATTCATTGCCATTCTTAGATCAAGAGCCTATTTGCGTCTGACACTTGCTCAATGTCTTCCAGGTTCAGGCCCTCCTCCAGGAAACTATGATGGCGCACGTAGACGCGTTGTTTCTGCCCTGTAGCGAGTGAGGGGCGCTATAGGGTCTGATGAGTTTTCAGGTATTTGTTGAATTCGCGTGTTGTTGTCGAGATGTAGATCATTGATGATCGTGCGCTCTGATGAATTGCTCAACACAAGGAGTAGCTGTTGGAGTAACAATGACCTGGACACGCAATCTTTCATCCGCTTAGCTGAGTGTTACTAATAATTTGTATGTTCTGGGAAGATGCGTCCCAGTCTTCGCGCTCTGTACCTTGATCAAGAAGGGGGTTACTGTAAATTATCTGAAGCTCAAAGCTCTTGAGTGTTCTTTCAATTGGTAGACGAGCTGAGTCAGCAGAATGGCTGGGCCACCCTACACTGGCTGAACAAAGGAATATTGGGTGACAATGAACTCAGTGAGGCACCTAGTCATTTATGCCATTGTTCTATATGGAAGGCCATGCCATTTCTATTTGTTGGTAGGACCTTTGCTGTTCTTCTGTGCGTTCTGGCCTTATTTTAACGTACCAATGGAGGAATATCCCATGATGCGCATCGAACTTCAATTTCAATTCTATGTTGGTTATTACTCTGATTTCATGCAATCCTCCCATACATATAAGAAGTAAAAAATTATTCTCGAAACAAAATGAAACAAAGAAGATGACTGAGCGGCACCTACAAGTGATATGAAAAGCGAGCTGGATGATATGGATGCTTGAATGAGCCACCACAGCCACAGATACGTGGCTCGTGCACTCAATTAAGCCTTGAGATCCCTGAACGCGTCAAACGCGTCTTCTCTTCCCCTCCAAGAAAATCATTTCTGTGGCTTTCGTCCTAAGTATTTACACCTCATCAATTTTGAGAACAAATTATAAATCTATAGTGCTTGAACTCGGGCGCGAATATCGCCAGGCCAAAACCAAGCATGAGTAGCCATGACTTCAAGCACGGGGATAGAGCCTTTCTCCAGGCCATTTTAGCTCGAGGAACGATTACTTTCGAAGAAGCCCGTCCTATCCTTGCTGCGATATTCAATGCCAACCGCAGGCACAGCGGAGATGAGGAGGGAGACGAAGTACGAACAGATCAAATCACCGAAGAACACTTTCAAGAGGCCATAGACAAAGCTTCAGAAGCGGCATCACTTTTCGACTACGAAATCCGAAGTACTTTTCACCAAATTACCAAGAGACGAATATGGGCCTTGGTCAATACCACGTCCGATCCGCAGACGCAACTCGCTACCACATACAGCCACGAAGAAATATCGTTCATTAAACGTGTTCTAGACGCTATGTTTGAAAAGTTCAACACCCCCCGTATGGAAGTCATGGCTATCACCGAGATGCAGGCCATCAAACTGGCGCGGCCAAACCGAAGAGAAAGCCAGATCGATGTGGAAACGCAGACGCAAACAACTGTAGACAAAGGACTTAAGCATAGTGAAGTAGAAGCTGTACTCGCAAATTTGGTTGAGGGAGGGTGGTTTGAGAAGAGTAATGAGGGGTTCTATACATTGTCACCCCGAGCGTTGTTGGAGTTGCGACCCTGGCTAGTTGAAAGCTACAACGACCCGGATCTTGGGCTACGCGACTGGCAGCGCATCAAGTTTTGCGAAGCATGCAAGGATCCAGTTACGATTGGTCTGAGATGCGCAGAGGTGGATTGCAACTTCCGACTCCATGAGGTATGTGAGGAGGCTTTCTGGCGAACTAGGCGAGACAGCAAATGCCCACGATGCTCTACCGAGTGGTCAAGTCATAAGTTCACAGGCGAGCGAGCGGTCACATCGACGGATGCTTTCCAACGGGGACGGCGGAAGAATGGTAGCGGCTGGCAACGTAGCACACTCGCCGATGAGGTTATCCGTGACGAAGGAGGGGCAGATGAGGTAGAAGACGAGGACGTTGATGACGCCTGATCGAGGTGTATATGCCGTTCTACCTACTTTTATGTCTTTATCATTAACCATAGAATTTCAAGATACCCACGGTCAATCAACATGAATTGGCATTGCTAAGTACCTTACTCATGCTGCCCCCGCGTGGCAAGAAAACTTCAGACATGGACAAAATATGCCAAGATCAATTCATCAAAGAGCGCCCTAAGCGTATACTAACTCATCTAAAAACCCTTATCACTTGGGATCTTGATCCCAAGTTTCCTCCCTTCCCCTAGGCTGTTGACCTTACAGTACCTACTAATGCCAGCTGAAGTCGACTTGAGCCCCCGATCTCCACCCACCCACGTTTTGGAAGCCATTTGACCAATCATTTTCGGATTCCTATCATGGTACGGCAGTTGATTGTCGATCATCAAATCACGTAGCCTTAAACATATTTACGTGGGGTAGCTTAGGCTTTGATCCTGGACTCTGGCTGGGCTGCCGTCATGACATCACATGTGATGTGGCTGTGCGCTCTCGATTCACGTAGATCGTTCGTCACCCAAGACAAGATAAAGGCGAATTTCCAAGCGCGCGCCAACACCTAAATCGCCATCCCTCATTTTCCTTTAAGCTGGGCGGCCTCTTGTTCCAGACTAAGGTAGTTAAATAGCTAAATCCCCATTTGCCGCATCTCCGAACAAGGCGCCCCCTTACATATAACAAAACTCCAAAATGTTGGAATACTTGACATACAAAAAGATCAAGAAGAACAGAGCGGAGAAAGCGGCGGCTGCTGAGGAGACTGCGAAGAAGACCGAAGCTGGATCTTCGGCAGACCCATCCTACGGACATGTACCGGATTTCAGCAACGATGCATCTCGTGCATCAGGTCATCAACACAGGCGGCGAAGCACGCAGCACAGCCTCAGCTCCAATACTCCTCCTCTGAGCCCCGTCCTCGACCGCAATGATGAGGCATGGCTGCAAAGTATCCTGGAAGACGATGGTCCAGCTCCGCCTCTGCCGCCACGCATCAATACCCCTCAGATCGACCTCTCGTCTGCATCTGAGAGTGAGATAGAGGCGGTAAAGGCTCTACAAGAACCCAAGAGTAAAAAGGACAAGAAGAAGGAAAAGAAAGAGAAAGAGAAAGAGAAGCACGACAAACAGCCAAACCGTCTAACGGCTTTGTTCACGAGACATAAGAAACCACAGGATGGTCTTAAGCCAGAAGATAACGTCGCGCCACCGGAAGCCGAACGTGAGGAGCAGGACCTTGGTAACGTTCTCGACCGCCTGAACCTCCAAGCAAAGAACAACAAGATCGTTTCTCTCTCCAACGAGTCATCCGAGCTCCTGTCCCGTTTCACCCAAGTATTCAAGGATCTCGCCAATGGCGTGCCGACAGCATACGGTGATCTCGCAAGCCTAGTTGAAGACCGCGATGGTGCCATCAATCGCGGTTTCGAAAAACTGCCTTCATCTCTCAAGAAGCTTGTTACCCAGCTTCCAGATAAGCTGACGTCCTCCCTGGCGCCTGAGCTTCTGGCAGCGGCAGCAGAAAGTCAGGGTCTGAAGGCAAATACGGAGAAGGGCGTTAAGGATGCCGCTATCGACCTCCTCAAGCCATCCAATTTAACCGATCTGGTCACGAAGCCAGGGGCTGTCGTTGGTATGCTCAAGGCTATCGTCAACGCATTGAAGGTGCGATGGCCTGCATTTATTGGTACAAATGTTATATGGAGCGTTGCTTTATTCTGTAAGTATTGCTACCCAAACTATTCATACATTTGCTAACCCTTAATAGTATTGATGTTTGTACTTTGGTATTGCCACAAGAGAGGTCGTGAGGTGCGACTGGAGCGAGAGAAATCTCTAGCTGAGACACCTGTTGATGGCAGCGATCGTATTGAAGAGCTTCCAGATGACCCTCTTCTTCCCGGGCCAGAGGCAGCGGCGGCGAGTCGCAGTGCCGACAGGGCAATACTTGGAGACCCTGTTTCCCCTTTGTCTGAGCCATCCCCGATTCCTGCTGTAGTCGAGCCAGTCTCGCCAGAGGAACCGGTTCGTCGTCGCTGAGACAGTGCCTGGACAGGACTTCCGTTCGTAAGCAGGTTGATATATGGTAACGAGCAGTATTTACGACATGGTTTATGACGAAATGAGAATGGAGCCTCGGGGCAGTGCGATACCAGCCTTTACTATTGATGGACATGGTATGAATAATAAACTTGATTTCTGCCTCTTCACAGTGGGTATCTTTTGTAGGTTGAAAGGAACATCTCCTCTAGAGGCTTTCGTAGTTCAGCTATCCGGCATCATTTGGATAGAAAGAGACAGCATGTATTGCGATGCTTCAATCGTCTTGAACCACTTCTTTGATCTCTTCTCGCCCAGGGGCCATGGCGACAGCTTCACTCTTGTCGCTCACACCTTGGCGATCTGTCGCCCCACCCCCATCTTTGGACCAAAAGTCCACCTCATCAATGATGTCCCAGACAATATCCTCTGCAATTTGGTCAGAATAACGCTCGCTCACAGGGTGCACCCTGTTCAAGCGAGCGTTACCTGACCAGACCTTATCGGGTGCACCTTCGGTCTCGGCTGGAGGAGGATACCAAAAGTCGGGGCCGAAATTGACCTCCACAGCGCCTCCATGGAAGACACTTACGGCAGGGTAATATCCGAGCATGCCGTCGTCAAGGCCTTCGCGACCGCCAACTTGGCCTTGAGGACGCGAAGCTGGTGGAAGGAAGCCAAGGAGGTTCTCGAACGGAGTTCCCATTAAAACACCATTCCTGTATACGCGGATGCAAGAATTGGGAAGCGTGCGGAGACTTGGAAGGGGGTGATTAGGACCAGGTTCTTCTGAAGAGCCACCGCCAGCCCCTGTCGGGTTCATAAGATCTTCCAATTCTTTGGTGGGGGAGTACTCGCTCTTCTCGAAATAAGTATGAGATTTGAAGCGTATGGGATAGCGATCGCGGACAATATTGTGGCCTTCAGCGGTGGGCGCAGGTTCTTCGTCGGTTTGATCAACAACTGGATTATACTGTCCAGACATGATCTTGCGGTGCAGATGTTCTGATGGAAGCTGAATCTCGAGGCCGATGATATCCCCCTCTCGAATGCCTTGCCCGGCAGGAAAGAATTCCTTAGGACGGGACATATGTACCTTTTCTCCCGCGACGTCACGGAGGCCATAACTGTAAGCATCGAACCCCACAGGCGCATCAAGCGATGCCTCTCGTCTTGCCCAGCCCACGCGTACATGCTTGCCTCCTTCTGGCTTGGACTCTTCATCTTTTGGTGGTCGAACTCCTTGTGTGATTTTGCACTCCCAGTACCATCTGCCCTCCCTCACAGCCACGTTCGCCCTTGCCATGCGAAATCCTTTGTCGGTTGTGACGTGACGAGCCGACTTATCAAAATAAACATGCCCTGCTGAGTCCTCGAAGCTCAAGTGGGGGCCATATGGCTCTGGTTCTGTGCTTCGGTAGTAGATCATGGACGGGAAGAGAGGATCGGCGATGCAGGGAGTATACCGGAAGCTCTTCTTATTAGAGACACTTTGACAGTTAGCATGAAGGTATTTATCGGATATAGTCTTAGCTTACTGATCCGATGTGTCAAAGAATTCGACCGTTTGGCCATTAGGGGCCGTGACCTCATGATGTGCCGTCATGACAGGACCTCGAGGAGGGTTGAAGTTGGACAGTTTAGGCTGCCCCAAGTTGTATCGTAATGGGCTCGACTCGCTCTGTTTCTTCTGTGGCTTTGACTTTGGTTTTGGATCAGGTGTCGCACGAACACTATCGCTTCCTTTGGCCTCGCGTTTCTTCAGAGTATCCTTCTTTGCTCGCGCAGACTTAGATCTAGAATTTTGAGCAGCATCTTCGGGTGCCAAAGAGTCGGAAGGCCTGACTTCGGGGTTCAGTGGCGAGGGAACGACAGGACTGTGACGGCCTTCTTCAAGGGAGCGCTTTTGAGGAACCGAGGACAAAGGAAGAGTGGGTGTTGGCTCTCTCTTGGGAGAGCTCCCGAGCTCGGACGCCATGACGAAAGGGAACGACTGAGGCGTTCGCGATATTGCATAGAAGTAGATAAAGGTACGGAATTGATGTCGAGTGACGCGATGCGACGCGACGAGACAACCAAACTACTAATGCTGATCGTTCTTAGAATAAAGCTAGCCAGCTGATCGATAACTAGCCCTGCGTTTGAGCGAGATAAGATAAGATAAAAACGAGAAAGCGAGTTCAAGCCTCGGCTGATAAGAATCGAATGGAGAGAACAAAAAAGAGGGCCCGATCTCGGCCTAGCGTGGATTGGATCTGAGTCGGTCAGGGCACCAGGACGGCGATCCCCTGCGCAAAAATCCGACCAGCGGTGCCAAGAAACGAAGAGGAATTTCTCCGTATTAGCTGAACCAATCAGAGACGACTTAATGTAATCCAACGCATTTCAGGGGCGAAATGGCAAAGTTGACAGAGCCGCGGTGAGGAAGAGGGGCCTACTAGAACGTCCTAATTTAAGGGCCTTTCTCTTGGTTCCTCCACTGTGACGACACGTTGGGAAGGGTCTTTTCTGCAGGTTTTCTGGCGTGACGAGATCTGGAGAGTTTGAGAGTTCAGGTTTGTGAGGCATAGATCTCTCACGTGAAAAATACGAACAGTACTCAGCATCAAATGATATCCATGCAGTCGGAAACGGCACCTTTGGTTCAAGAGCTAAGAAAGACACTAGAAACGAGATGAGAGTGTCTAGATCAATTCGGTTGTTTTAACCCCAACCCACCAGCGGCCGTCGTTCCATGCTGGGGCCCGACTCCCCGTGAAATCGCATCATGTGTCTGTTGAGTCGTCTTGCTTCTGGTTTGTTTTTGCCTTTGCACGTCACTCCCCTCCTGCCTAAGGACGAATTAGACTTGACTGCCACTGAGGGGTACGAGAAGAAGAGAATAGAGAGAACACAGTCAGCGAGTCTCTCTGCTGGGCCCCATTTAGGCTCATGCAATGCAACGCCAGCTCCCGAGACCCGACAACCAGTCTCCAATCCACCATAACTAATACCAAACAATCTGAAGGGTAGAAGGCAAGGCAGAGCAATCAAGAAAGCACAAGCCCAGATCCAATTCCAAGACTAAGCCCCAGCCCCATTGGATAGATCAGGCCTTGTCTGATCATCAATCGCAATCACCTTACCTACCTACTCTGCCCAACTTTCACTGCCATCTCTTTCTGATCTGACCTGCGCCTCAATCTCAAACCAGACGGAATTGTTCGTCCATCTGTTTTGTTGACTGTCATCTCTGAGTTCTCACCTTTGACCTCTACCTTTCCCTTCACCTTAACCCCCCACCTTGTCCTCTCTTGGTCTCGGACACCCTTCCCCCGGGGTCACCGTCCTCTCCTCCACCGCCATCTGCCATCTGCCGTCTCATTGCGTCGCTGGTTATCGATCTACGGTATCTCACGCGCGCGTGCACACACACGCAAACATACACCCTGGTCTCTGGTCTTGGCTCTGCTTGGTCACCAATTCACCTTCCACCGTCCCAGCCTGGTGGTGCCGCAAAACTTGGGAGTCTTACGCCTCAACCCATTGACGAAGTCCTCCCCTGTTATTCGCCAAGCACCACATTCAATTATACCTTGCCTAGGAACGAGACAAGGCGTGTTCCGTCCCGTCCTGTTCTGTCAGTGTGTCCTGCACTTCGCTTTCGGCCGCCTTTTGTTGTCTTACCAACACCTGTCATTGCGTAGTCACAGATTCATCACCCTTGCACATAGTCTACTTTCCCTTCCGCCTTTTTGGTTTGGTTGATAATCTTTGTTATCTCCTGTCCTTGGTTATTCCCTTTGTCTTCTTTACTACACACTCCGCACATCCTTGTCCTCTCCTCTCCTCCCCGCGGCTGTCGACTCCTCAACCTTCTTCTTTGGTCTTCTCGGCCTTGCAGTTGCGCCGGTCCCAAGTATCTGGTAGCTGTCGCGTCACTCTCTGACACCTGTCGTCTGACCAATACATTGCTTCCCGTTCGATCGGACTCGATCCAACCTTCGATTGGTCCTGTTTACTAGGTCAGCTGCCTACGCATCCACGTCCCTTTGTATCCTGGCGACTTGTTCGACTCGTCTGCCCACCAGCAAAACTGGCAACTTGACGATACATATCGCTGGACTGCAGACTGGGCTTTGCACTAGGTACTTCTTCAGCATTCTGACTTACACCTCGCATCGAGCCAAGAAAGTATTGCATTTGTTTGGCTCGCTTCGGTGCCTGCGAACTCTTAGTTGCGGAACCCGGCTCCGGCCTCTCTCCGGATTCGCCTCCTTGCTCGGCCGGTTCGAAACCACTTATCAATCCGCTGCAGCCGATTACGAGTCGTGTGAAGGACTTTCTCTCCCATAATCAAATTTCAATCTTGCTCATCCTCGACCTATACGACAATCAAATCAACCTACCGACCCTCGATATCAACGCCGATGAATGCTATAGACTTCGGTTTGTAACTGACCCGTCGCATTCCAACCCAGACTATTGAAGTACACCCATTCGATTCATCTGAACCATTGTCGTCTTGCTTCCCTCGATACTAGCAGCCCTACCTACGGGCATGAGCCAAGAAACCCAAGAAACGGCGCTGTATAGCCATCAGCGTGAGACGGGTTCGGTGCGAACTGCGCTGCCATCACGACCAATGTCCTCGAAACCAAGTGACAGCTCGACTGTTTCTTCTCAGGAGCGGACCAGACTCCCTACCGGCCAGGACAACCGCGACCACCAACATAGACTAAGTGGGAGTCCGTCTGGCCCTAAGACAAGTTCAGCTCCAGGAAACATGTCAAAGCAACAGAGTCCTGGGTCAGAGCATGGTTCAAAAACAAGTCCGCCACCTAGTGGCAGCCAAGGACAAGTTTGCAGGTAAGTTAACTACCCTTAATTCTACGGTAATCACTCTGCTTATACCGATAATAGTAACTGTGGAACCACCCGGACCCCTTTGTGGAGGAGATCACCTCAAGGTGCTACGATTTGCAACGCCTGTGGCCTCTATCTGAAAGCCAGAAACGCCTCTCGTCCGACTAGTCTCAAGCGACCACCGAATGTTGTCCCTGCAGAACCTCCTCGAACTACCGCACCGAAGCCCTCTGCAGTCACAGGTCCAAAACCTGCGTCAAATGCGACCTACATATCTGCTGATCAAACTGGAGGGACTTGTCCTGGAGGTGGACGTTGTAACGGAACGGGTGGTGCAGAGGGCTGCAATGGATGCCCTGCCTATAACAATCGTGTTTCGAAAAGTGCCAACCTAGGTGGAACGCAGAAACGACAGAGTTGCCAAAGTCGAAGTGAAAGTACCAAACCGGAACCAGTGCCTCTGGATGTCAATGCCCTGCAAAATCAACAAAATTCGAATGCCACGGTTGTGATTGCATGCCAGAACTGTGGCACCACTATTACGCCTCTCTGGAGGCGTGATGAGAGTGGCCACACAATCTGCAACGCTTGTGGTAGGTATTACGCGTTTAACGTTTGTCAAACAGTATTTGTTAACAGCCCTAGGTCTATATTACAAGCTACATGGTGTCCACCGGCCAATGACCATGAAGAAATCGACTATCAAAAGACGAAAACGAATTATCCCAGCTTCGCAGGATGAGGAGATGGAAGATGCAATGGAGCCAGCTGAAATGCAAGGCCAGTATGAACAAAATGCTGAGAAAGGGTCAATAAACGAGGACGGATCTGTCAACCTGGGTCTTCGTCGTCGCCCAGACCATCCGCTCACGATCGAGCCTCAACCGGTTATCCGACCTACAAGTAGAACAATATCGCCACTGCCTTCGACCTCGGATCTAGCTGCGTATCATCAGTCAAATAACCCACGTCAGTATACCGGATCCCTGAACGACGATAATCGACTGGCCCCCATGGCGTCTATGTCATCAAACAACGACAGGAAAACATCGCTATCCCCTGCCTCGTTTCTGTCGCCAACTCGAAAACGATCCTTCTCTACCACTGAAAGTGAAGCATTTGCCTCACAAGAAACTGGACAGGAGAGCTCGAAACGAATCTCCTCAATCAATATCAAATCGATACTGAATCCATCGACGTCAGCCACTACTCCCCCCAATTTAGGAACAGGAAGCGACGACGGCGACTATTCCTTACCTCCCATACGATCACCTGGCAGTACCATAGCGTCAGCACCTAGTCCCAGCACCTTTTCCAACCGGGATAACACGCCAGGTGCTGGCCCGCGTGATTTCGATACTGAGAGAATAAAGGCTGAGCGTCGAGCAGCCTTACAACGCGAAGCGGACAAGATGCGAGAAATGCTTGCCGCAAAAGAGAGAGAATTACAAGAACTTGGACATGATTAATGAGTAGGATCCACGATAAGACATCAACGATTTATGAGGTACCTCTTGGTCAGCAAGGTGTCTTTGGACGCGAAATTTTAGTGAATGGAAGGCGAGTTAGGAACCGGCGCATTTTGGATTTCACAGCACACACGGCCTTCTCGGATGGGTTTCAGCTCATGAAACTGGAGTTATTGCTGTTAAGGAGCATGGTGTTTGACATACGTGTCTGGTTTGCTTTCTTTCTTCTCTTCTAAAAGCTATTGGAAGGATTATACAGAACTACTGGCTTCGGCCAGCGATACCACTCTATCTCTCGAAAAGCACATTGTTTACGCTACGGAAAATGCACATATAGACAGGGTCAGGCTGTATATATCGCAAGATAGTTTACACGAGCCAAAAAAAGAGAATGCGGTGTCGCGTTGAGCGACTGTGAGTTGACAACTTGATCAAGTATCAGCTTTGAGCCTCCTTTCCGCTTCATCTTTGATTTATTCATTGTGATAACGACCTTCGTTAAAAAACAAGATTTTTTGATAGAATTTGCGTAGTTTTCCGAAACACAAAGTCCACTCTATACATGGTTTGCGAAGGTGCTCGCACAGTAAAGCATCTATTGTGTGGACATCATAGCGTAGCACAAAGCCCCGTGCTCACTACGTAGGCGCTCAATGCGTACATAGTCCAAACTTGACAGGCCATGGGGGATAGAATGTAAGTTGCTGCAGTAATGAACTGATCAGAAAACCCGAGCTGTCTTGTGATCACAACGAAATATGATGCCCTCAAGGATCATGAAGTGCAAGCCTTGTTGGTAAGGCTGATCCATACAAATGTAACGCTGCGGAGAGAAAAGCGTCGAACTCGTTTACCACAGACAGTGACATTATCACTTGAGGAAACAAATTCCAAGACTACTTAAGCAATGCAATGGGCTATCAGAGCGGGGAGAAAAAGTTTCTTTAACCATTAGAGAAGATTGAACGACGGGTAAGATAGCAAAAGGTGCCCTCACAGCTCATATTCTTGGAACCAATGTGCTAGATGTATCACCACTAGTATGCCATTCATCTACCGCAGTGCATAGGCAATTCATGATATATCCCTTGCAATCAACCATATAAAACGCCTGACGTGGAGTAGTTGAGCATTGGCCCATGTAATTGCAGCGCTCAGGGAGGGGATAGAGCTTTCGTGAAACTATGGTGGCTAACGTTCATGCATACACTACGTCTTGTAATAAATTTCCTATATTAGAATTGAGATTTACTTGCATCAGTCACGGGTGCCTTATGTTGGCCGTTCATTGCCGCGGGATCAACTGGACTGACTTGATGTGTTCCCTGCTGAGTGTTCAAACAAGGCGGGATATCATCAACATAGCGTATGGAATTATGATTGAACAGTACATAAAAAACAAGTAACCTATTAATAAAACTTTGGCTTGCTGATTTCTGCGTGGCTCGCCTAAGCCCGAGTAAATCGCTGTCAGTCTAGGTGTTCGGGAGGGTTGGATTTGGTCGCTATATGCTATATTCCGGAGGAGGAAAGCCTTGAAGACGTTGCGGTAGTATTACTAATAGACCGATACGCATCGAGTGAGTTGTGTTTGTAAATGATTTCACTCGATATGAGGACTCGACTCCGTTCAAGTAGTCACTGTGCCTTCAGGCTTCGTCCCAAGGTTGTGTGGATGCCCTTCGAAATCTCTGCCAACCTGGACAATACCAGCAACATCAATTCCAAGGAGAAGATTACAAGTTATAAGCGACTGATACTGAGATGAGTTTGATGTCGATGCCTACCTTGATATATGGATATACAGGAAACCCAACAGTTCACTGATAGAACAAAACACCACGAATTAACTTCGATATGAGAAATGAACAAGCTAGATTAAGCATAAACCTAACAGCTGCCTGCAATCTTTTATATTTCAGTAAGGTGGATGATTCTTTTTGCTTGAGGAATAATGGGTTGAGGACCAGTGTTTTGTTTGAGCATATAGCCCAAAGCAAGACGAAAGGTGAACCGGCATCCAATAAAAAACCAAAAAGGTAACCGATCAATCTGTCGAGAGACACTTGGATTCATGTCAACGGGCTAGGGCAGAAAACTGTTCGGCCATGCGAAAGCCAATAGGTCTCTGAACGGCTAAGGTAGGTAGACATGCTGTGATATTGCCCAGCAACATGGTTCGGATCTTGCCGTATATGCATATTGAGCTAATTTAGACTCGCGGCATTTGCGGAGATCTAGATGTTTTGCCTGTCTATCTCCGGTTGAGGATCCGCCCGATCAAGATAATCAGAGGATCTCCAAGCAAACGCAAAGAGCTTTGATATGGTCAGAGTTGTATGCTGAATTGAGCAACAGTTGAACGTCCTGGCGTCGGTTCTTCAGCACCAAAATGTTTTGTATTCTCTTGGAAATGCTGTATACTCACTGCTGCACACCCTCATGGGCTCCTGTTGAGCTCCGTGATGACCGGTGCCGGTGCCGGGGTGGAGCGCCTCCGGAGACTCCGTCCACGGTGAGTCGCAAACCACAGGCAGCTGCTACTGTACCCGTTCTGCCTGCTTTCCGCTGCATTTCCGCTGTGCAGGTAGGCGGGTTCGCCTAAACCAATGGCGCCTTTCTTGCCCCAGGATTTGATCACTCACCTACACCAAATCTTGCTCATTTCAATCGCAGTCCTACATACGCACAGAAAAGACATCATTCAACTTTTCTGCTTACCAATACGTCAGATGCTAAGACACAACGTCGTGTTGGAGCAGGGAAATATCTTGAGTGATCTGCGATTTGTTACCCCAAAGCTAAGGATGCTGTGTGTCGGTGGCTGATTCTAAAATCTCACCGACAAGGCAGACCAGCATGGTCTTTATTTTTTTTTCTCTCCGATAAACCGTTTCTTAGAACGTTCCAGTGCTTTCTGGACAGTCTTGAAGTGATACGAGGCATATCAATCATTCAATTATAGCGGAGAATCAAGCATCTGAGCCTCTGAGGACGTGCTAAACCCCACATAGACACTCCGGGGAAGCGCATGCTCGGACTTTATCAGAGTCACGACTCCGATCCGGTTGACAATGAGCCTCCAAAAGACATCACGGATGATATGTATTGTCATATAAAAGTTCTTATTGCGAGGCCAAAGACCCATGCGAAGGCCGGTCTCGGGTCAAGACTTGGGTCTAACGAGACGCATCCGCATGGATGGCTACGCCTTGCGAACTACGAGAAGCGGAGCCCAGCCTATGTTGACCGTGTCGAGCTCACACTGTACGGGCGAGACAATGATTGGACACCCATATTGTTGGCTCACCATATGCGAAGGAGCTGGAACCATCCTACAGTGTTGGAAGCACCGTCACTCCGCAGCTTGTGTGCGTGGGTCCATTCATCAAAAAGATCCATGTCTGTCAATTGAAGGGCGCACGACATGACAATCTGGCTAGACTCGCTCAGCTGGTTGGTGTGGCTGGCCGGCACTCTGCACTCCAACTCCACCAGACTTTTGGCTTGGTTCACATTCTGGGGGATGGAGACTGCTGACTCTTTCGATGTGTTCCTAGACAGACCGTTACTTGTGCCTAGGTAGTACCTTGGTTGGATTTTCATCTTGAACAAAACTCAGGGACTATCCTCCACTTGGGAGCCTCATTCTTTTCTCTTCACTTTCAGGCTCAACTATCTTGTGTCCTTCTAGCTCTCACTCCAAACGATTCAAGTGGGACCAGGCTGACTGACATCCAAATCTATTCGGTTCATGGCTGTCACCCTTACGCGCGCCTTTCGATTGACCTGAGCCGACATCTCTGCTCCGCATCAGCACTTATCCTTGTGCATCATGTCCAATATGGATGAGATGGAGCAATTTGTCAACTGGGACAAGGCCATTGACGCCTTTCCACAACCCCAGGATGGCAACGCCTTTGCTGGTCTGACAGCTGACAACAACGAGAGCATTGATCTTGTCCTGGAGAATGTCAGTGAAGACGACTTCAGCTTCTGCGCCCTTCAACACTTTTCAGACAACAACTTCCCTCTGCCGGACATGCCCGCCCCAACGATGGACTTCACCACAACCGCTGAAGACATATCTAGTCAATTTCAGTGGGATACACCTCCATCGCCATGCATCAACTGTGCTATGTCTGGCTTCTCATGCAAAAAGATCCGAGAGGGTATGTACAAGGACTATTGCACTACCTGCGTAGCATTGAAGGTCGACTGCAGCTTTGCTGTTGCCCCCGAGTCTATCAACACTTCAGCTGCGCCCTTTGACATCAATCCTTTTCTGCCATCTGGACCTCAGATCTCCAACACTCTCCAGGAGGATAACCAGGACGACTCTTGTCAATCCTCTCGCAATGCCTCTCGCAATGCCTCCGTCAGTGATCTAGGCAACCTGGGAGAAATATTCAACAACAAGGCCGCACCTCCTCCCAAAATTGGAGCACGATTCTCTCGAGAGTCGGTTCGTATTCTCAAGAACTGGCTCTCAACTCATAACCGTCATCCTTATCCTAGTGACGAAGAGAAGGAGATGCTGCAACGCCAAACAGGGTTAAACAAAGTCCAAATCACAAACTGGCTTGCAAATGCTCGTCGACGCGGCAAGGTTCAGCCCCCGCGCTCAACATCACCTCACTACACCAGCTCATGGTCAGGCCCCATGGATATCCCTCAACGCCGAGGAACACCAGCTCTGGAAGCCATGAACCCACTGCAACGTTGGGAGCACTCACCCCCTGAGAACGAACCTGCGTCCGTCAGCGCTATTGCACGGGCCGTCACCGCCTCTTCCTCTGGAATGTCGTCCGGACTCGACAGCCCTTTCAGCTTGAGCTATGCGGACGATGGCTCAAGCAGATCTATCTGCAACCAGTCATCGGTCAGCAGTTTAGGCACCTCTCACTCCAGTAATGGTTCTCACGGATCGGCCTATTCACATGGATCTCGCAACTCATGGGGTTCGTTTGGCTCAGCCCCATTCAATAGCCACGGACGTCGTCGCCGTCGCCGAAGGGCTTCGGCAAAAATTGGCAAAGAGAAGACCAGCCTATCAGCCCCTCTCAAGACCTTCCAGTGTACATTCTGTACCGAAACATTCAGGACTAAGCACGACTGGCAACGACACGAAAAGTCGTTGCACTTGTCTCTTGAGCGGTGGGTGTGTTCTCCTCACGGCGCAAAAGCCGTCAACCCTGATACAGGCATCTTATCCTGTGTCTTTTGTGGCGAGGCCAATCCAGACGATGCCCATATCGAAAGCCACAACCACTCCGCCTGCCAAGAGCGTACCCCAGCAGAACGGACATTCTACCGAAAAGATCATCTTAACCAGCACCTGCGTCTGGTGCATAATATCAAGTTTCAGGATTGGTCTATGAAGTCGTGGAAGGTAGCAACGCCTGAGATTCGGTCCCGATGTGGTTTCTGTGGTATCGTAATGGATACATGGACTATCCGTGTCGATCATTTGGCAGAGCATTTCAAGACGGGTTATTCCATGGCTGACTGGAAGGGTGATTGGGGTTTCGATAACCCTGTACTCGAGATGGTCGAGAACTCCATGCCTCCATGTATGAGACCTCTCCAGTATCCTGTAGACAAGTTGCCAACGTCTAACTTTTGAAATAGATCTTATTCATTATGAGCGCACATCCCCGTTGCCATACGTAGCCACTCACTCCCCGCCAGAGTCACCTCGTAATGCCTACGAGTTGATTAAGTTGGAAATGGCTTTCTTCACACGGAACTATCAGGACCAGCACGGACGACTCCCGAACGACGAAGAGATGATGGTCGAAGGTTGTCGTATCATTTTCGCTAGCGAACTGTTATCTCTACAGGGCATCGCGACGAGGCCATCGTGGCTCCGTGACATTATCATGAGCTCTGACACTCTACAACAAAAGGCTAGATTCGGTCCTTTGCGTGGTGCCGCTGAAAACAGGCTGGCATCCCTCAAAATTAACGGCAAGGACAACTTGTTCGAGGAGTGTCCTATGGAGGTACAGCTCCACGAATTTGTCAAGGCCAAGAGACTACTTGGTTTAACGGCGATGGATGATGAGCTTCAAGAAGAGGCCTGTCGTATCGTGGGTCGAGTGGAAGAAGTCTCTACACACCCGTCAGAGGCCATTGCAAACTGGCTAATTCGCCTCGCAACATCTACTACGAACTGGCTCGCGCCTTTCCGTCGACGTGCACACCTTCCACGAAGCGAAGACGTGGTGGATCACATTTGCCGTTCAACGGATCCTACATCTATCGACTCAACCATCCACAGCTACTCGCGCCTCGAGCGTGAACTGAAAGATTATCTCATCTTACAACGATCGATGGGCATAGAGCCTACTGACGAGGACCTCCAACGACAAGCTCGTATCATTATATACGAATTCGATGACGGTTGGAACCAAACCGCGGCAGATAACGCATCTTGGCTCGAGGGATTCAAGAACCGTCATCCCGCAAGCAGTAACAGCTCGCCTGCATTTTCCCTTCAGCCTAGTGTCAACTCAACTGTCAGCGGAACCGCCACCACTGATGCGACACTTTTTTCCAGTGACTGTCCTGTGCTTCTGGGATTGGGTTGTGATGACATGTTTGATATGGGCAGCGGCCCTAACTGTCCCGGACCATACTTCCTCAATGATGCGAACTGCTATCGACGATTGGCGAAGGAGCTGAAGCGATGGGTTGCTGGCACTATGTCGGCGAACAACCCTAACAGGCATGTGCCTAGTGATGCAGAGCTTCAGCACCAGGCACGCTGGATCCTATATGACGAGTAAGTTTTCTGGGCAGGAAGATTGCCGAATGTGACGAGCTGACAATATTCTAGTGACGATCCTTGGAATCAGACTGCTGCAGATAATGCCGAATGGCTTCAAAGGTTCAAGCGAGACGCCGGTATCCTCAAGACAGACGGTCCTGGGCTCCCAATGAGCGATGGCTGGGCCCTCGAATCTGGTGGTTCGGGATTCGCACCCCCCTATGCTTGCCCCAAGGCATCGCTTGAGCCTTTCCCTGCAGATGCGCAGGTGTCAATGGGCCAGGGTGCCAAGTCACTGCCAGCAGCTATTGCTAACAGCTACATCGAGAAGCTCACATCGCAGGCGGCACGACCTGCTGAGGTTTTTTGCTCGCGAGAGCTGGAGCGTGGTCTTATCAGCTATGTCGAGGATCATGTAGCATGCAAGGGATCCATGCCCACAGACGCCATGCTTCAGACACGAGCGCGTCGGATTCTCGACTCGCAGACCACTCCAGCCGATGATATTGATCTGTTGAGCAAGTTCAAGGATATGGTGGCTAAGAAGGTTCCTCAAGCAGTGGCCGCTCAGGACACCATTGCCAGTGCTCCTGCGATGCCCAGCAATATGGAGCTTAACCTCTCAGATGAGGATGTGAACAATATCCTGCAGGACATGAATTTCGAATTTGATGCTCAAGACTTTGGCGTTGCAATGGAAGGGTTACAAGATACAGGAGGTGTTAGCCTGAATATGGCAGGATTCACGGATTAGGGACCGCTTTATACCATTCACGAAGTGTATTAACGATAATGATTAGACGCATATAACAAAAAGGTGTCAGGTTTTTGAGAGTTTCTAGATACAATATGGGTACGCGGTGGATATTTCAATGGATATCAGTTTGTTTACATAAAATTTGGGAATGGCTCAATAATATCACTACATTATCTTCACTTAGCACCTTGCCTACTAGACCAAGTTTCAGGCTGAGTCAACATACGTGATTGATAACAATAGCAGCGATCGTTCGGGCATAAGCGAGGCAATGTCTCAGCCTGGACTTTGGCCTAGAACAAAACAACCACTACAGTAGATGGAAACAGAACAGTGGCTCAGATGCACTTCAATTGCATGCGGACGGTGAGAGAGCGCCAACCGTTAAAGATGGGTCGATGACTTCCGAAGACGGCACTGGGCTTGATATCTGACGTTAGACAGTACCTGCCCGTACCTTGGACCAACCTTTATCAAGTAATTGAAAGAACCTAGCGCTATTCTGAGTAAAGTACGTTGCGGTAAGATCCAGTAGGCAACGATGCCCAGATAAAGTAAGAAGGCACAGCAGGAACGGAAGCGACGCATGTCAATTCCATTCAGCTCATTCATTCCATGTTTTTCAACTTCAAACAACCACTTTCACGCGTCAACTTCAGTCACTAAAGACGGAGATGTTGGAGGCTTCATAGACTGCTTTATGAAGCTTGCTCAGAAGACACTTCGTCTTCTTGTCTCTCTGTCAAGATAAAGTGACGCTTGAGTGAGGCAATCAATCAATTAACGGATCGCTTACAGCACGCAGCTTCGCTCTCAATTATTGCTGGGCGACCCCTACCCCAATGCCGACTTATCTATGCCACGGATTTCGATGGCATCGCCGCGACATCCGGATTTTTGTCATCCTCAACGACCTTGAAGACGCAGCACCAAACTGGGTTCTTGCACCTGCGTCGTCTTATTGTATCCTCGACCAGCTACACGCCAAATACGACTTCTTACCTGAGCTCTCTCCACCAACAACGCCCACGCAAAAGAGCATCAGCGCCAAAAATGCCAACATCAAAAAGCAATTCGATCATGTTGACGACGACCATGCTCTCCCGACATCACGTGTATCCGATGCCGAAGATGCCGTTCTTATGCACTCATGGTCACCGGTCAAATTGCTGGAGGAATTCGATGTAGACGAAATGGTGACGGCATGCAGACCATATGCTTATGTGGCTGATTATGTGGTACGAGTCGACCTGAGTGTGGACGTGGCAGGTCAGATGGCCAAGTACTATGACAAAATGGCCGGCGAAGATGGGTGGATCATGAAATTAAGGAATGAATTGCAGAAGGGTGAACCCGTGCGGTGGTACGTCGTGGTCTGCGGTGACGATGTGAGAGAAGTCCCTGGCAAGAGTGACGAAGAAGAAAAAGAGGTTGGCTATGAGCAGACAAGGGACGCGGCACAAACGATGGTGCGCAACCGACGAACAATAGACGCTTTGGAGGGGCTTTCTGATTCCCCATCCGAGTACGACGATGACAACGACCGAGACGAAGATGGAGAAGATGCTTTCACCGTCCTAGATGGCATTTTAGGGGGGGCAGATGGTGCTGCAACACCCCGGCCACTTTCGAGGGCATTGCCAGATATCGATATCCCGCTCCAGCCTCAACCTGACCCCAACCGGGCTTCAGTTTTGACAATATCAACAGTTTGGTCCCCGGATGAATCACCTAACGGAGCAGCAAGGCAGGAAACACCGGATATTGATGCACCTCTCCAGCCTCATGAACTCGAGAAGAAAAGGAAACCCGTGTCTACAGCATCATCAGTATGGTCTCGAAAAGAATCTCTAGACAATGGACTAGCACTGGGAACACCAGACGTTGAGATGCTACTTCTCCACCCCGATAATACACGATATTCAGCTTCGACAGCATCAGAGATATATTCTGCATACGGGCAATCTAGAATTGAACCAGAAGAGTTTGCCAAGATACAGTCATCAGTGCAGGATCCCATGAGAGGAGAGATACCGGATGTAAAGCAACCTCTCAAACCAAACGAGCTTCATCCGTCTAGATCTTCAACGCCTCCAACGCCTCCAACGCCAAAACCTTTGCAACGGCAGCTGCCAGCTCCAACGATCTACAGGCCCGAAAGCTTTATACCCCCTTTCTCGCCTGTTTTACCACCTATGGAGGGGTTTGATCAAGAATCTCCGAGGCTCAATACTCCTAGCAGGACAGAGAATGTCAAGCCCCCAGAGACATCTTGGCCCTTATCATCAGACTCGCCACTTGAATCCTCAGGATCGAGTACATTTCATAATCAAGATACTCCGTATCCATATGTTACATCAATCATAAATCCAAAGGACAGGCCAGGTACCTATCTGAACGTACCCAAAGAGCTTGTTCCTCCTCGAACACCCTCGCCTACATCGGAGTATTCACCACAGCCACAGAATTTTGGATCAAATATGCCCAAGTTTGAGGGGATAGTGCCACACGCTCCACCATTGTTGGTGTCACCGAACCCAGCACGTCTAGAACAACCAAGTTCTGGCATATTGTATGAAGCTGGTGACACAATTTCCAAGCAGCAGCTACCATCAACACCAATGCCAAATGCCAAACAGGTGGCACTGCCGAATTTAGACACGAAAGCAGCAAGAGAGCTGGTTTCGAAGCCATCAGCAAGTGCCACAACCCCAACATCGGCTCATCGAAAAACAATCAATCCTGTCTTGAAAACACCTCCCAGAAATCCAACAACACAGCAAATTACACAAAAGTCGCCGAAGTCTCGCTTACCGAGAAGTGTCCCTAAGAACATTCGAATATCAAATGTACCATTACCGCCAGAACCAGAAATAAAGACGCCTCGTCGCCCGCCTACGCCACCAAAGCCTCGAGGTGCATCGGGAGGAAACTCACAGAAAAGACCACAAACTGCGCCAGAAAAGGGGACGCCATCATCGAAAGCTCATGCCAGAATGTTATCCATGCCGTACCGTTATGAGACACCCAGCTCTCTGCAAGAACTGGAAAGGGAGGAGCCGATACTAGAGCCTACACCATCTCTTGCTTCTGACTACAATGCGGGTGTCAGTTCAAAACCAAGCGCGCCACGAGATTCAGCACGTGGGGTAAGGTTACGTGCACCACAGCCAGCGGTCGCCACAACGCAAAGTCGACAGACTAGTGTATCTACGGAGCATAGTGATGGCCAGGTAAATGAAGACGGAAGGCATCCTAAACAACGAATTGGTCGCAGTCATTCAGTGGCCGAAGGGCTTAAGAAGCTGTTCAGGAAGCCGTCTCATGCTAAGGCAGGCCATCATCATTGAAGGAAACGGAGAGTAAGCATGAATTGCTGGTTTTGAACTTTCATTTCGGGGTTGATCTTGACCGCAATTTGGAGCATTTTATTTTGAAGGGATAGGAATTGCTGTTGACTTATGGAGAAACGTCGAACTTTCAATAAGTCGTAATATTCTATGATGAATCGTCATGATGTTAGAGTAACGGAACGAGATTCTTTGAAATTGTACAGTATTTGAATGCATAGAGGTTTAATTATGCAGTAGGTGATCTGCAATTAGCAATCAGATTTAACATCTAGGTACAGTGAAATTTTCAGGGTGCGAAATGAAATGAGGGTAAAGCTCCTTTACCAGGTAGGTATGGATGGTCATGCAAGGAGTTGATGCGCGTCACGTGTAGGTTAAGCAAGACAGCTTGCGGCTCGAGTAACTCGACTCGATTACCAGCATACTTAGTCAACACCTCCAATTTTCTATCTTACCCTCTTCGATCTGTTTAACAGCCCGCTTACATCAAATAAGGATGCAACTCATGGTATCAGTTGATTGGAGTCCCTGATGGTCTCCAAATAACTCTCCAACCCGAGACCGTTGTGCCCACCGAACCCCGACAATATTAAACCTCGAGGCCCGTGTCCGAGTCCGAGTCCAATCTAGCCTCCGGTCATTGTCTCCTTACCCATCGCCTTCGGTTCTTTGAATCCGCCTCATATAAAATGGCCCTATCGCGGCCCGAGCCTGGCCCCAATGCGTCGGTCGAAGCGTTTGCGCAAACCGGCGCTGAGCCCTCGCTCGATGATAGCGACGACGAAGATCTTCGGTCGGCCGTTGGCAGTGGAAGCGATGTTTACGAGCTGCATGAGAGAAATACGAGTAGTGGTAGACACGGCAGCGCGATATGGGATGCCGAAGCTGCAGAGGATGGAGATGTAGACCATCCTCTCGTAGGAGAGCGCTCGCGAAGTCCTGGTTCTATGGCGAGTTTCCAGCTCTATACCCCTGATGAAGAACAAGCCGTGCGGAGGAAGTTCGATCGCAAGCTTGTCTTATTCGTCGCTCTCCTTTACATGTTGAGCTTCGTCGACAGATCTAGTACGACCCCTTTATCTTTTTGCGATCGACAACAATGTACTAACAAATCCAGATATCGGCAATGCTCGTATAGCTGGTATGGACGAAGATCTCCAGTCTGACCCGCCCCGCGATGAATGGTACCAATGGGCCCTCACGGCGTTTTACATTACTTACATTGCCTTTGAATGGATGTCGCTTCTGTGGAAGCTCATTCCGGCGCATGTATTTGTGTCAATGGTGGTCCTGACATGGGGTCTCATGGCGTCCCTTCAGGCTGTCGCGACGTCTTATCCCATGTTGATTGCGCTGCGCGCTGTCCTTGGAATAGGAGAGGCTGGCTTCACGGGGATTCCATTTTACTTGAGTTTCTTCTTCAAACGAGAGGAGCTTGCATTCCGGACTGCTATTTTCATATCTGGTATGTAATCCCCTGTTGGGATGTCAAAGAAGAAAAGCTTACAGCTGTCGCAGCGGCACCCTTGGCTACGACGTTTGCTTCAACGCTCGCCTGGCTCATTGTTAAGTTTGCTGAGTTTGGCCCTATTGCTCCCTGGCGTCTTCTCTTTATCATTGAGGGGTTCCCATCCGTCATCGCGTCTGTAGTAGCCTGGAACGTCATCCCTGACTCTCCACAGACAGCTCCTTACTTGACCAAGCGTGAGAAAAAGGTTGCCCATCTACGCCTTCGCAGCGAGCAGTCGACGGCCACAAACAATAAGCCTTCGTCTGGTCTCAAAGGTCGCGATGTTCTAGCAATATTTCGTGACCCTGTTGCGTGGATCACTGCAACCATGTTCTTCCTCACCAACATGGCGTACTCCTCTCTCCCCGTCTTCCTCCCCAAGATACTCACTGAGATGGGTCACGATACTCTCACCTCTCAAGCTCTCAGTGCTCCCCCATACTTGGCGGCTTTTGTCATCGTCCTCTTCACAGCGCACATGTCTGATCGTCTGCGCACACGCACCGTACCTCTAATATTCCATGCCCTCGCTTCATCAAGTGGCTACGCCATTCTGGCTTTGGCTAAACCCCTTAATCTTCCTAATTTCATCCGTTATATGGCCGTATATCCTGCCGCTATAGGCTTTTTCAATGTCGTCACTCTCATCATTACTTGGAGCATCAACAACCAAGCCAGCCAGAGCCGTCAAGGCGGTGGCTTTGCTCTCCTCCAACTCGTTGGCCAGTGCGGACCGCTCGTGGGTACCAGGTTGTATCCGGATCGAGATGCTCCCTATTATGCGCCTGGGATGAGCACATGTGCAATCGCTATGCTTCTGGTCTCCATACTAGCGTATGCTCTTCGCTTTTATCTCAAGTATCAAAATCGTAAATTTGACCGGGCTGAGAGTGAGCGTCGGCAGGGAGGTGACGAGGTTGAGGAAGAAGGCCTCGTTGGCCCTGGGAGACGCAAATCAGCGGCTGTTGTTTTTCGATATATGTTATAAGGCAATTTTAATAACCACTGTTTCAAACTCGCAGCTCCTAAAAATTTATTGTTCACGGAATGATCGCTACCGAGGTAAACTTGATTGTTAGACCATGTACACTTTCTTCTTCTTCTTGCTGCTAGCTAACACCTCGTGATGCTAAACTAATACCGTTTGTAACTTGATTTTCTCAAACGATTTGCCATGTAAGTTATTTATAATCTATTTCCCAAAGCGCATCCACTTAGGGGCGTGATACTTCTCTACGCCGGCTTTCCACCAAGAGTCAGTTCCACGCCCGCCTTGCTCGATCGAGAAAGACGCAGATTCTTTCTCATGTTTAGGCTTGCTGGCATCCTCAGGTCTAAGTTTGCGGCGCAGTGTCTTCCAGGCCGAGTGGTGTTTTCTCTGCTCTTTATGTTGACGCCTGACACTCTGATAGGCATGGCGAAGTTTATTGCAGCTGTTATGACAAATATTGTGTGCCAGTTTCTCAACTCCGGCTCGAGACCGTTTCACTCCCTCTGTCAAGCTTCGAAGAGACATGACAGAAGATTTTCTCTTGCTTCTTCTTTCCACCTGTGGCGGTTTGATTGGCGGACTAGGACTGTCTGAGTGCCGGTTTTCTGTTGGGCTATCAATTTGGGTCTGGATTCGGGCCTTCATCCGTGTCAGGGGGTAAGTCCCTTCAAGCCCGATAGTGTCTTCCAATGAAGGCTGTCTCGCCATGGTCTCCTGAGGAGGCGTCACATTTGACTGTAGGTCTTCCGAACTTGATACAATCTCAAAGTAGTGGTAGGACTGGATGGGTAGTCGTTGCAGGTGCCCGAAAGCAGCTGCCTCATCGACTCCTGTCCTGTGGGTGCTTCCTTGTCTCATAACTCTCGCAGCAACAGAAGAGCTTGATGAAGATCTCAGACCGGATAGCCGGTCGTTGAAGCGACTATATTTCATCAAATCGCCCAAGTCCAAACTTGGCATGCGAGTGTCTGATGCCGGTGATGGCACATCACTAAATCCAATACCTTGGTCATGGTATGATGAAGATGTGCTCCTTGGAGCTCTATGTACGGACTCTGGAGAGGGCGCTTGCGATCTCATAGGTCTCAGGTTATCTCTTACCATTTGTAGGATAGAGAACTGGTCTGAAATAACATCAGTCGTTGATGGTTTGCGGATTTGGTCATCGGGTGCATCGTTCAGCTGTGCTTCTTCACGAAAGTGATCGCGGTGGGTAAGTGGTAGTAAAGCTCCATTCTGAAGAAATGCATCTTGTCTGGAGGTCGTTCGACTGGTCGGGTTTGTATGTGCCTCAGCCTCGGGGAAAGGCCGCCCATTTGACCGGAAATCTCTCTAGGATGCTGCTGGCCTGATGTTTTCCAGATCCTCGAGTTTCTTCCGGGTAACAGGTGCTCTTTTTTGTACATTAAGTTCGCTCAGCTGTGTGCCTGGAATGGTGTTATTGCTGTAGGAGTCTGGTGCATCCCCTAACTTGAGGCCTAGAGGGCGGGACCGGACTGGAAGTGTAAAGGTGTCATTCATGGTGAGGATGTATGTATCACTAATAAAAGCAGCTGATGGGTGGTGAATCTCAAATGGTGATGAGTTGTTGAAGATGGGAAAAGAAAACGAAGTGTAAAAGTTGAGAGTTTGGTTTATAACACTGAACTAAATCTAGTCGAGTAGGTGAAACAATGGTTAGACCATCACAGGGTTGCTCCTACCTCTGTGCGGCAGATGAGAAATATAAAATAAGGCAAGTACATAAGTATAGGTAACTAACAGAGGAGCTGCAATCGTGAATGTTGTTTTCTGCTTGCCTTTTAAGAAAGCCTTGACCGAAAGTGATATAGAGAAACACCAAAAAGATATCACTGTCTCGTGGTAACTAACAACCTAAAATAGATACTTAGAGACAGCAAAAAACCGAACCGGAGGGCACTGGGATTGCTCCCGCCAGGGCTTGAACCTGAGACCTTCGCATTACCGGACACTCGGAATGAAGTATTAGTACGACGCTCTAACCAACTGAGCTACGGAAGCCTTCCAATTCGATAGAATGGTTGACATTATTTTGCAATATGTTGAGCTCCAATTACTCCCAGTCCATCGAGTAAGGACAATATGCATCACAAGCATTCAGTGGAGGCAACCACAATAGACCAGCTTCAATGAGTAGACTGAGGACAATGACTGCTGGTTCGTGGGCTCAGAAGTGCTCTAACTAGAGCTTATTAATTTGATAACCCTTGTTCAAGCTTGATATGCCCGGGACGACATCTATCCCTCCTCAAACTTCCATTTCATCCATCAATCACCCATATTCCGCCTGTCTTATCCAGATTTCTCAACGCAGTTGGTACACTCAGCGCATGTGAAATGTGTTGTTGCAGCTCCGAGCTTCATAGCTCCTCCTGGGGCATTCTGATGGAATAGGTCAGGCCAGCCGTATTGGGTCTCGGGCCAGGCAAATATTTTGATCGGGGCACATCGATCATTGTTGAATCTTGCTTTGTTAGTAGTATACGGACATATGAGTAAGTATAGCATACCCAGCTAGACGGCAGATCATACCAGGATCAATGAAAACAGATCCGATATGTCCCTTTAGCTCAGGGCCTAGCTCATTGCATGTATATTCAAGTTCAGGACGATAGGCGAAACATGGAGCTCCCCAGTTCTCCTCACGGCAGAAGTAAACCTGAGATGTGTTTAGTAAATGTATTCTGCTGGGAACAATTCAATCATACCATGCCAGACTCTCGACCCCCTTCACTGTTCTCGTCAGGAGTAGTACCAAGGCGAGCCTTGATAACTTCAGGCTCGATGGCTTCGTACTTGAGTGCAGCTCGCTCCTTGAGAGGTGAAGACCACATGTCAACTGAGACAGCGAGACAGTGCGTATAGAAGAGCGACAAGACGGCAAGTGCAAAAGATGTCTTCATTCTGATGATTGGGTGAGAGTAAGTGTTGATAGGAATGAAGATGGAAGAGGGTAATCAGAAGTTTTAGTTCTCGATAATCCGAATTGCTTATTGAGCACTGACAGCAGCTGACGTCTGGGTTACAGCCTTTTATGTATCAGAGTTTGCTACGGCAAGCCATTGATGATTTTTTGGTTTCATTCTTTACGACAAAGCTACGTATGACACGCAAAGCCTCGTGATGACACTGGCTCATGCGATACAGCTGCAGCTTCAACCCGAGCCTACTCATTCAATTGTACCAGGTTCTCACCCGTTGCCGACCGTATTGATTGCTTGTGTTGTGTTGATCAAGATACTCGGTCAACTCGTCAGCTCATAAACAAGCTCCCAGTCAAAGACCTTCGGGAGTCATCGGTCATCCCGTGATACAAATTCGGCCCATCGGGCGTCCAAAAAATGCTGTCAACTTGCAGGTGGCTTGCATCACTAGTAAACAAACAACCGGGCCTAGATGGGAGCCGCGGCTGATCTCCTAGACGATTGTGTCAACGGTATTACCGGCCTCGGGAAGCTTGTGCAACTCTCGTGTCTGCTGCTCAACCGTTTGCCTGGAATTGTCAGAATAGCGGTCTCGCCTCAGTCTCCCACGTTGCGCATTGCATCACGGGATATGAGCAACTCGCACCAAGTACCGGTTTTGGCTTGCCAAAGACATATTCCACGTTATCTAATTTGTTCTCATGCAAGAATTTGCCGTATGCCGGTAACATCCACCGCGTGAAAGCCGCTGGATCGCCCAACGTGCATCGCTGATCGGCCGTCCCTGACGTAGATGGCAGGGAAAACGAGTCGGCACAGCTTAGTATCAAGCTTCGATTTCATTTGATCATTGTGAAACTCAATCTTTCGTATAGCCGTGTTAAAATAGAAGCATACTTACGTTTATGCATATTCATCATCCAACATGATCGGCCTTGGAGCAGAGGCCCGGAGCCGGCAACGGAGACGGACGGAACAGACTCCACAATGATTGCCTGTTTAGGCAATATCTGTCACAGCGGACTCCGGCACCTCATCCCGTGTACACGAGTGTTCTTATGCCTGGTAGCATATACGGGCAACAGTGTGATACGGTCTCTCTCTCACGACGGAGGATTTGGCTTGAAACTGCCCGTTGCGCTACACTTCTCACCCAGCACATCCTTGGCTTCGGAGGAAATGCAAGAAAAGGCGGATCCGGTCAGCCAAGTAGGTTTCTTCGAGTCAATACCGATCTTGGTACGAAAAGAGACTCTGTTAGGATACACAGCATCATTCGATGCAGCCGTCCGTCGCAACTCCTGGCCGATAGCCACTCCACCTAGCAGCTATCTCTGGCGTTGCCGGTTGCACGGCATCAGCTTCAACCACTCTGCGTACATCAAGGCCACTGCCGTGGCCCCCAATTCGGATTTTAAGGAGCAAGATGGTACCTTACATCGTCATGTGCCTCAGTCGATCCTCAAGATTCTTGGGTTGTCCTAAGAAGGCAGACAGATACGAGATAGTGCAACTATAAAGCAAGCTTGCACGCAATTCAACTAGGCAATCAATGTCTCTGTAGCAACACTGCATTGGACAATTGTAAGGAACCACAGAGAACCATTGTACCTTTGGTAACCCGAGTTCGGAGGCGGTGAAGTTGGGTCGCCCATCAGCCAACATCTTCCATGCCGCAAAAGAGCGAACGATGATGACAATAACAAAATAGATTCTTGGTACAACATGTTTATTCTAGTATTTCAGAACCAAAATGATGGCATTTTTATACGCAATAATTACTTACGGGTTTTCATAAATCAAGATTAGAGATTGCCTAAGTATTTCTGTAGACTTAGCCATGTTCATGAGCTGGGCGTAGGGTATTCTTCTTCTCTGTTTAATGGCAGGACATGACTGAGAGAACTCCAAGTCTTTCAAAACAGCAGTTTCTTATTGTCATATCGTGACTGCTCTGATAGAATTTCTCTTGGTGAAATTGCTTATTTAGATAACACAGTTACTATTGATTCAATCGACATTTTCAAGCGCTTTTACGTTATGTTTCTAGGTTATGCTACAGTGGGTTTCAAGCAAACCGAAATGTACAAAAAGGGCGATTCCCCTTTTGATACTCTGTCTAACTTCAAAGATTAACAAGCAAGCCGAAACCTAAGAAACACTGGGCGCTTTCTCTGCCAAGTGTAAAAGTATGCCTTCCACTCACGCAATGTTCTCGAATCGACTACTCACTTATCTAATGGACAGATAATGACTTTTTAAGGTAGAGTATCCGTGACAGACTTCTCAAACACCAGAGCTGATGGAAAGAAAAGAAGACAGTCCGAAATTATAAAGAGCAAAGAGTTGGTATGGAATCAGGTACATATCATGGACTGAGCATGAAGTCGGACCAACATTAGGGATTATTACACAGTGTTCAGTGCACAGTAGTCACCAGATGTTGAGCTCGGCTGTGATGGGATATACCGAATAGTCGCTAGGCTTTAGCCGGGGCTAGAGGTTTCTGTTATCCGTTATGCTAAGACAGTGCATAGGCTAGCTTATTCCTACGCGTTATGCTTGGTGGAGATCACAAACACCATCGGTTATGACTTGAAAAGCAACATGCTTCTACCACTTCTTGACCAAGAAACTTTTCCATTATTCTCTTAGCTGACAGGCTCTATTACTGAAATCTGCTTCAACTAACATACATAAGCTCCAAGAATACAAAGCTGAATGAGAGAACCAACCGCAATGTTGACGAATCGCCCTCGGACACGGCAACGAGCGTATAAGAAGCCACCTGCTCTTGATGTTCCCAACATTGATGAAGATGCCGCGGAGAGGAAACGAGTTTTGAATGTTCTAGCACAGAGAAGATATCGTGAGTCCTCATTTTCCTGCAACCAAGTAAGCTTGAGATCTGACAGGCATATAGGTGAAAAGAAACGGCTAGATCGTCTTAAGACCAAGTCAGCTGGTAGCAATGGGTCTCAAAACTCCGAACCTCAGGATGAAACAGCTCCAAACTCCGAATACAGAGTATCAAAAGACGATATCTATGAAATCCCGACTCTGCAGAGCAATTTGGAACCCACAATTCCAGAATCCAACCTGTCAATCCCTCCCACGACAGATGCTGACATCTTGGCTGGGTTTGATCTCAATCTGACATCTTGGAACCCCCTCGGAGACCCCCTCCAAGATTTGACATTTGCGTCTATTCTTCCAGACCCAAATACAGTACCCGAATACTTATCCGAAGACAATACCAGGGACGATTCAGTAACAAATACTCATCAGGACTTGTCTGCAGATTTTGGCGGAACCGATATGACCATGTTTATTGATTCTTCATCACTCAGCTCTTCACCCTCGTCATCGGAAGGGCAGACGCTTCCTGATAGTTATCAACTACCTCTACTACAGCTTACACTTCTCAAGGCTGTTATGCGTATAGCAGACCGTCTGAACCTGAAGCCAGATCTTTGGGACTTGGCGGGCAACTCGGCATTCAACACAGGGACCGCAACTCCAGCATCTCTACTACCTCCATCATGGCAGCCCACTCCATCACAAGTTGCGATACCGCACCATCCAGTGTTTGACCTGCTGCCCTGGCCAGGTGTCAGAGAGCGCGCCATCTTCATCTTGTCATTGCCCGACGAGTTACGGCCACCACGAGCCCAGGGTGCACTGGCGATCGTCAACTTTGCCTATGATGTTGAGGATACGGCCGAGGGAGTTAGAATTTATGGTGACGATCCATATGATCCAGGTAACTGGGAGCTTGGGCAGGTTATGTTTGAAAGGTGGTGGTTTTTGTTTGACAATAGCATCATCAGCACGAGTAACCGCTGGCGAAGGGCAAGGGGAGCACCGCCGCTGCTATTAAAATGTGGAAGTGCTGGTTCGAGCCCGACTGCAAGTACATCATCTGCTACAACTGGAGGATCATGATGGGGCCACTGAAGTTGTTGTTGAGTACCTTAGTAGGTAGGAGGGCCATACAGCCATGTTATGAAACTCTCATGAGACTTGTAAAATATAGAATAGCGATGCATATGAATTTGATGACGTTAAAGTCAATTGAGCAAGAACGAACGGTGAACATATAAACGCAAGGCTAAACCGAGATTTCTATCCGCATAGACCCAATACTCTTCTCGATAAGCCTCACAAGTTATCATCCGAGCCCCTTGATTAACCCGAAGAATAATTGACATCGAGGTGGAGGTTTGATGCTTAAATCAGTCATTGTCAAAGTAAGTCTTTGGACCTTTCACTCACCGGTCTGACAGTGACACCACTAGTAGCTCAGCATCATGACGGAGGGGTTATAAAGGTCCTCGGGTGATGATTCGTCCATTTGCTGGACCCTTGCTCCGCAGCAGGGGACCCTCGACGTTGACGTTGGGGGAGAGAGGAGACATAGAGATCATTGGCAGGGCCTCTCGGAAGATGGCTGCAAACCGCAAGCTGCAAGCCGAAGCAGAGTGGGATGTCGTGAACTGCTTCAGCCAAACAGAATCCATCAAGTCCACAGTTTCCAGGCTCATTGCAGATGTTACCGCACGCTCCATTGTCCTGGGTTTCTCACCGATCAAAAGAGGCGCAGCCGAGTACAACCAATTCAACGGCCACTCTATCAAGTGGAGGTGAGCATCGATTTATGACTCTGAGTTCTTGAGCTTAAAAAATTTCATCCGTTTGTCTTAGCTGCAACGTTTGGAAGCTCACTTCGTTAGCCTGGGGCAGCTTTAGGGGCATCCTCACTGGTTCGATGCCCTGAGCTCCCCTGAGCCTCTCGGCTTCCGATGCCCGGGAACGGCGCTGAGTTCAAATGAACGCATCTGCATCCGCCAATGAGCAGACACGATTCATGCATCGGAGGTAAAAACGGAACCCCACTGGGGAGTTTCTGGAGGAAGGAGGGGCATCTAAGAGGCCGTCGGCGGGGGAGAGGAGAAATTTCCTGGACAGTTAGAAGGAAGGAACGACGTGGAACGCTTTTCTGTCGGTACTCGGTTTCTTTCTTCTCTCTTTCTTCTCTTTCTCTTTTCTACCCGTCATCTATCACTCAATATATAACCTCCTCTTCGTTCTTCTAATAGAATTGACTGTCATTTGTCAAGTTGGATCCTGGTAGTACGTGAACTATTGCCCCCTGCTGCTGCTTCTCGTTCAACGGATTGAGAGAGGGAAATCGAAAGGTCAATACAGATCATCGTTTCCACCGCCTCGTCTGGAGTTGCAGCGCAAAACCTCAGAACCGGGCTTCAAACAATACAATAAACGTTAGTTTATACCAGCATCGCCGCAATACCTCTCTTATCTGTAATTGAAATTGCTAACATAGGATTCCTTGTCAGTCGTCGTTACAGTTCCCCTCCCCCACAATCTCCCCATACTCCAGCTCTCCGATCCAAGCTTCGACCCGCCACGACCATCACGCCCATCTCTTCCTTTGTAACGAATCAACATTGTTCTCTGGTCAAATACAAATACAAGCTCGTCATAAACCACACAATCCAACAAATCCTCGTCAACCGATTTCACCATGCATATCAAGGACATGCTCAACGACGCCGAGAGGAGCGGCCAGCCCTCCTTCTCTTTCGAGTACTTCCCTCCCAAGACCGCCCAAGGCGTTCAGAACCTTTACGACCGTATGGATCGCATGTATAACCTAGGTCCTAAGTTCATCGACATCACATGGGGTGCTGGTGGTAGAATTGCCGAGCTCACTTGCGAGATGGTACTCCAGGCTCAAGCTGTCTACGGCCTCGAAACTTGCATGCATCTGACCTGTACTGACATGGGTGTTGAGAAGGTCAATGATGCCCTTCTTAAAGCGTACAAAGCTGGGTGCACCAACATCCTGGCCCTACGTGGTGACCCCCCCCGAGCTCAAGACAAGTGGACCGCTGCCGATGGAGGCTTCCAGTATGCCCGTGATCTTGTCAAACACATCCGCGATACCTACGGCAACCACTTCGACATCGGTGTTGCTGGTTATCCTGAGGGTTCCGACGACAACAAGAACGAGGACGAACTACTTGACCATCTCAAGGAGAAGGTTGACATGGGCGCCAGTTTCATCGTCACACAGATGTTCTATGATGCTGATAACTTCATTCGCTGGGTGAAGCGTGTTCGTGAGCGTGGCATCACTATCCCTATCCTCCCCGGTATCATGCCCATCGCTACATATGCCAGCTTCCTTCGACGAGCAAACCACATGCAGGCCAAGATCCCTCAAGAATGGCTCGATGCACTTGAGCCTGTTAAGAACGACGATGTTGCTGTCAGAAACATCGGAAAGACCCTGGTTGCCAACATGTGCCGAAAGTTGCTCGCCAACGGGATTCATCACCTTCACTTCTATACTATGAACCTTGCCCAGGCTACACGCATGTTACTTGAGGAGCTCCAATGGGCTCCTTGCGCTGAGCGTCCTCTTCAACAGGCTCTCCCTTGGAAACAGTCCAAAGGACTTGGCCGCCGCGAGGAGGATGTTCGGCCCATCTTTTGGAGAAACCGCAACAAGTCTTATGTCATTCGCACACAGGATTGGGATGAGTTCCCTAACGGTCGATGGGGTGATTCTCGCTCTCCTGCTTTCGGAGAGTTGGATGCTTACGGCATTGGTTTGACTGGTACTAACGAGGCCAATCGCAAGAAATGGGGCGAGCCCAAGACCATTCAGGATATTGCTCAACTTTTCGTCCGATATCTCCAAAATGAGATCGAATCTCTGCCATGGAGTGAGGCACCTCTTACCACCGAGGCTGACGAGATTCGAGAGGAGCTTATTGAGCTGAACAAACGAGGATTGTTGACTGTGAACTCCCAGCCTGCTGTCAATGGTGTCAAGTCTTCTCACCCTGTCCACGGCTGGGGCCCTGACAACGGTTATGTCTACCAGAAGTCATACCTTGAGTTACTGGTGCACCCTGATGTCTTCGACAAGATGATCACTCGCATTGAGAACCACCCTGATCTGACCTACTACGCTGTGACTAAGGACGGCGAGCTCCGATCTAATGTGACATCTGATGGCCCCAACGCAGTGACATGGGGTGTCTTCCCTGGAAAGGAGATTGTGCAACCAACCATTGTCGAGAGCATCAGTTTCCTTGCATGGAAGGACGAGGCATTCCGACTGGGTGTCGATTGGGCTCACTGTTATGACATGAGCTCGCCTAGCCGAGCTCTGCTTGAGGGTGTCATGAATGACTGGTACCTCGTCAACATCGGTGAGTAAATAAGTTCCAAACCGACTCTGAAAGCGTGCTAACAATGGTAGTGAACAACGATTTCCACGACAACAAAACCATCTTCGAGCTTCTGAAGGGCCTCGAGGTCAAGGACCTCACCACTCCTGCGACTCCTTTGACTGAGTCTGTAGGTAATGGCGCCGTAGATACCGAACCTATTGCCAACGGTACTGCAGCCACTGCAGTTGCGAACTAGATGTTCTCGCGCAGTGGTACCCGATGCGATGGTTTACCAAGATGCCCAGCATCTTGCCCAAAGTAAATCTCTGTTATGATTGCAGAGCGATTGCAAGTATGCATCATCGGGGCGTTGCTGTGCACTTCCTCTAACTTTAACGACCACTGCTTTTTTCTTCCTTTGATTTCTTTTTTTGATTTTCGGGTTTGGGTATAATAGCATCACCAAGGTGTCTTTTTCAACAAAAAGTTACCAGGGATACGGGGGCAGCATTTTAAAAAGGCGCAAGATACGAAAAATCACTCGGCGGGCGCAGACGACTTTATGTTTTGGGGGCTTGCTTTGCTTGTTCTATATCTCAACGATACCCCGCCAGCAAGGCCTTATGGATGGACGAATGCATGACTGAATTTGATTTCTTCCTTCTATGCTTTTTACTTTTTTTTTCTTTCCCGACGAACGGGAAGAAAGTATACAGAGTGGATGATGGGGACGTGGAAAAGATTTAAAGGCAAAGTTTGGCTATCATGATGGACTCAAGCAACAGCTAGACATTGCTGATGCTCGGAACCAGCAATTGACTTGATATCTAGTCCCGATATTGGGCTACGATGATACTTTACGCTCTCCCATACCGACCCTTTGAGTGACTTGAGTGAAATGTCCAAAGTCCATCGTTATCCTTTCTTCTACCCAGGCTGGAATTGTGTTGTACACGATAAAAAATATTACCGTCAAATGGGCTACGAATTAAATTCCTCCGCTCTCACCATGCATCTTCCTCAGCCACTTCATAATCCATATTCACCGCCCTCTCTTCCCGCTGTGGTTCTGCGCTCTTCTCCCGTCTAGGCTGATCATCGAAGTCCGCCATAGCATCGTCCTCTACACCATGCCGTGGCGCATCATCATTGCCAAGGGTCTTGACAGGCGGCAGAGGTGTATTCACCCACGCAAGCTCAAGACGTCCCTCAATGCCAGGCAGTTCCTTGCCATTCAGACTATAGTAGAACTTCTCTGCTGTTTTACGGTCTTGGAAAGAGACGTGTGTGGTTTCAGGAGCTGTATCGACAGACTCAAACTCGCCGAGGTTCTGTTTAGTATGTCAGTGATATGAGACCTGAAAAGGAGAGAATTTAAACGTACCAGGAGGAAATGACGTAGCATCTCATCCTTATCAGGTGCTGTAAAGTCAACACCTGTAATGGCGAGCTTTTTAGGCCGGTTGTCAATCGAGTATTGCGCATAAGCTGCGTGCATGTTTCCTCCTCCACGACCCCTGAAGCTTCCTCTTCCTCGTCCACGAGCGCGAAAGCTGCCTCGACCTCGATACCCACCTCGAGGAGCCCATGATGAGTTTGATTCTTCCCCGGCATCGGGATCTAGACCGAGCATCTTTGCCTCTTGTTCGAGGGCCGCAAGCTTCGCGCGCAGCATACTTGTACCCGACGAATTGGCGTCTCCGTCCTCGCCTCTCTGACTGGCGAGTTTTGCCTGCAGCTTCTCGTTTTCCTCTCGGTGGCGGGCGAGGAGTTCTTGATGTTTCTTCACTACCTCCTGGCGCTCTTGCTCTATCTTGGCGCGCTGAGCCTCGCGCTCTTGGTGCTTCTTTTGTTCTTCTTCTTGCTTTCGCTGGAACTCTTCCATATCTATTTCTGGTTGGACCTCGTCATCTTCTGCAGCCATCGGGTCGCCCGACCAATTGCCCCCTTGCAAAGGAGCCGATGCTGGTAGTGTGTCGATCTTGTCTTTGTACCAAAATACCTTGACGAATCTGTTGTCGAATATCACTTTAGGTGACTGATATGCTGCATTTGCCGAACCCCATTTATCGTACTTAACAATCGCGAGGTGCTTGTATGGCTGCATTGATACCTCCTGGATATTGCCAAATTGTGAGAAGAACTCCCGCACTTGCTCCTCGCTGAAGGACTCTTCTGGGATGTTTTCGACAACGATGGTACTCTTTGTACGGTCATAGTTAGGCCCTTCAGCGGAGAAAGGAGCTCTCGAACCGCCCTTCTTAGCGCCACGGTTCCGACGACCCCCTCGACCACCTCGGCCCCCATCGGGTGGGAAAGTCCAAGGGTTCATGCTATTTGGGGCGTTTGCTAACATGGCAAATGGATCACTTGGGTCGTACTCTATCAAGGCTCGTATTAGACGAGCAAACAAAACAAGTGAGTGATACCAAACTTACCGGCGTCGGTACCTGGGGGCACGAATATCGACTCGTTGCCATGGTCATACGGGCATGTGCTCCCACGCGAACAGAAGCCCTTGGTGTCAAAATCACGACATCGACCTCTTCTCCGGGGTTGACCCCTACCACCTCCAAAGCCTTGTTGCGGGAAGTTTGGCATGCCGGGATATGGCATCCCCATGGAACCCATCTGCAGAAATGCCTCCATGACTTTCGGATCGAAAAGCATGTCGGGTCGCGGAGGAAGATTATACGTGGGTGCACCAGGCCGTCCTCCCCTCATGTCGTCGCCTCGGCCTCCACGCCCACCTCGACGGGGTTGCTTCTGCACGCGCCCATCACGGTTGAAACTTTCGTATCCATCTTGCGGATCGTATTCTTCGCGATCGTAGAAACCTCTCTTTCTTGAGCTATTTGGCGTCGTGCTGTCGGTCAAAGGTTGCTGTACTGGTTCAACTCCGATCTTTGGGGCTGGAGGAGCCCCTGGGAGGTAGGATCTGTACGCGATTGCTTGGAAGACGTCGTCGAGGAAAGCTTTGGGGTCTGCAGAATGGATTTGCGGTCAGTTTCTGCGGACAATCGTCCTAAAAGTGAGAGCAGTAATGCGCACCTTCGCTTAAAAAGTCAGGAATCTCCTGTTCGCATAGCTTCCGTACCGCGTCTGCGTCGCCATCGTGCTTGAGAAGGGCAATGACATACTCGGCTAGGACATCGGCGTCGGCGTCAGAGCTATTCTGTATGTTAGCGGGGTCTTTAAAATGCGAGCTGTTCCAGCGTCGCATGGGGAAAATGAGGCTACGGACGTATCCTCGATGCGCTTGACTATCCACGCCTTAAGCAGGGGCGCATCTTCTTCAGAGAACAGCATTGTTCGAACAACGCGACCGCTCCGTTGATAGTAGCCGTCAGAATGCGCCCGAGACAAAGAGCAAGGATAGATCAGGTACGTAGGTATGTTTGGTTGATGTTCTGAGGTTGGAGGCTGATTTTTTTGGGTCTTGGGCCGTTGGGGCCTTTCGTTGTATTGTAACAGGCCAAGCAGTAAGATCCCAGGTATCAATTTGATATATAACAAGTCTCAATACGATCAAACAAAAAGGATTTTTAAGATGCTGGGCAAATGTCAGGAAAGGTAGTGCTCATGTGAATATTTTAATCAATTATCAAAAATTCGGTAGCTCTGATATGACATAGTTACAGGGAGTCTGGTGTCAAAATAGAGCTCCATATCATCCATTCGCTCCACTTTTCAATGAGACCAACGTCGAACTCACTCACTTAGCTTTAAAATTACCGGTAGTAACTCATATTCCTCGCGTCTTCAATGTCAACAGAATTTCAAGTCAATTTTGACCATCCCATATAGCAAGTAATTCTCGGGGTTCGCCGCTGAACTTCTACAATTTCCTGCTAATCTAAGTCATCTTACACCTTGGTCTTGACTTCACAACAAGCAAAGAGCTTCATATGAACTTCAATCTAACGTGTTTCAACTCATCAGATACGACATAACTACATAAAAGCCGAATTGAGCTTCTCCTTGACATTCAGCTTCAACCCAGCCACTCGACTTTTCTTTTGGTTTCCGCTTAGCATGCCGCTCCTGAGATCATCAAGGAGCTCCTCCGTGGAATTTGACATGCGTCCCAAATCTTCGTTATCAGCCGATTAATCTTGCGTGTCCAATTCGGCACGCTTCGTGGTTCGTTCGGCGCATTAAAAAAAAGCCGTTTACAGCTTGTCGTAGTACTATCATGATATGTTAGCATATCTCCTAGGTCATCGGACTCGGATGTTAGACTTACGTTCTCGACACCAGGAACGAGCTCCTTGACACCCTTGCGCTTTCGCATGGTGGTGACAATTTGTCCGACCTTGGTGGTGGAATCGAGGGGAGAGCCACCGGGGAGGATCTGCCAGTGGTCGAAGACGGACTGGGGGAAAGCCTGTCCGGAGGTGGCCTGTCGGAGATCTCCGTTGAAGCCGAAAGACTCGAGAATGGGGAGGTAAGCCTTGATGTTGAACAGAGGAGTACCAGGTCGCTGCTCCTCGCTGAAGACGTGACCACGTCGTCGGGTAAGGACACCGTAGACACCACCCATGGCCTGCTCAGGGACCTGAATCTCGACAAGGTACACGGGCTCGAGAAGAGCGGGCTCGGCGAGAAGAGAGGCGGCGTACAGGACACGACGGGCAGTGGGAATGATCTGACCACCACCACGGTGAATAGCATCAGCGTGGAGGGTAACATCGAGGATGTTGAAGCGACAAGATCGCATGGGCTCCTCAGCAACGGGACCCTCACGGGTGGCCCATTGGAAACCGGAGACAACGGAATCCTTGATTTCGTTGAGGTACTGAACGGCCTTGGTCTGGTCGACCAACAGGTTAGCACCAGTGCCGTCAGGGCCGAAGGTCCAGATCTTTCGGGCGTCGGTGACATCCCAGCCGAAGTCGTCAGCAAGGACACGGGCACGGGCCTTGAAATCGTCACGGGCGCTGACCTTGCCAGCCTCGATGGCAAGAGAGAGCTCCTCCTCGATAGGCTCAGCAACCATGTACAGACGGTTGTGCTTGTTGGGAGACTTGGACAGAGCAGTAATGCTGGACTTGGCAGTAACGGTCTCACGGTACTGGACGACGGGGTCGGAGATGATCAGGGGAACACCGGCGTGATCCTCCTCAAGATCCTTGAGGCAAATCTCGAGATGCAGCTCACCGGCACCGGCGACAACGTGCTCACCAGACTCGGAGGTCATGGTCAACACACAAGGATCGGACTTGGAGAGACGCTTGAGACCCTCAACAAGCTTGGGGAGATCCTGAGCGTTCTTGACCTGGACGGAACGCTGGACGACGGGGGAGACGGAGAACTTCATGACCTTGAGGTTGTGGGCGGTCTCGCTGGTGGTGAGGGTACCAGACTTGAGAAGGAACTGATCGATACCGACCAGACCGACAATGTTACCGGCAGGCATGTCGTCGATGGGCTCGACCTTGCCACCCATCATCAGGACAGTACGCTGGATAGCCTTGATGAAGAGATCCTCCTTCTTGCCAGGGACGTAGTTGGGACCCTGGATGCGGACCTTGAGACCGGATCGGACGGTACCGGAGAAGACACGACCGAAGGCGTAGAATCGACCCTTATCGGAGGTGGGCACCATCTTAGAGACGTAAAGCATGAGAGGACCCTTGGGGTCACAGTCACGGATACCAATGGCGGCCTCGTCATCGGGGGGACCCTCGTACAGAGTCTCAGCACGGTACTTCTGGGCGGTGGCGGGAGAAGGAAGGTGGAGAATCATCATCTCGAGGAGAGAGTCGGCAGCGGGAAGGAAGGTTCGCATGACAGCCTTGAGGAGCTGCTTGCCCTCCTTCTCACGGTCCTCAGCGGGAAGCTTAAGGTTGAGCTTCTCGAGGAGAGTGGCGGTCTCCTCCTTCTTGAAGTTCATAACAGCGGAGAAGATCTTGAAGATGGGGTCGAGGATGAACTGGTTGAAGGCACGCTCGAGCTGCTTACCCTCGTAGGTGCCGTTCTTGGTCCACTTCTTGGTCTTAGGGTTGAAGTAGTTGTCGCCCCAGAGACGCTCCATCATCTTGTTCTTATCAACACCGAACTTCTTGGCGTATCGGACAGCGAACTGTCGGACGGTGAAAGCCCAGCCGTGCAGACCGGAACCGAAGGCAACGGTACCCTTGTCGGGGTAGACCTGGATGTCACCAATGGACTTGTCAAGGTAGGTAGAAATGATGACGTTGACGGACTCGATGGTTCGGGAGAAGGACTGGTACAGATCCTCCTTGGAGACCTGAAGCTCGAGAAGAGCACGGTCGA